AGGCCCTCCGTCCTGCATCAATGACAAGGGGAAACCACGCCGCCCTCCAGGCTAGCGAGCCAGCGTCTTACCCACTTAGCCACGTGATCCCCTACAAATGATAATGCCCGAAAAACATTTCGCGCTAGTGGCGCTAGACAATGGTAATACATTGATTTTAAATATTTTATTCAATAATCAATTAGATAAATTTAGATTCCAGAAAAATCTATGACAAAATTAATGATCGATGCCCGAAAAATGTTGTACAATGCAGAATGGCTTCAGACCAAAAAGTAATGGGATTTCGTACAATTTATTTTGCTTACTAGAAGACAAAAAGGTTTTTTTTTTCAATTTATCCGTCTGCCCGAAAAATCTTATTTACCAGATATTTCGTCCTAATCCTATACCTCTTTCTGTCAGAGGTGATAGGGCGCCATTGCATTTGTCTTGGTTGAAACCGTACGTAACTAACGTTCGAAAAGTAAATGTGATTGAAACTTTGATAAAGACCAGCGACGATGCGTACTAGACACGTGATCGTATCATGGGGAATCATACCTGGGTGTCGGTTAAGTTGACTCAGTACCCGGTTTGCCTCGGTACCTTATTGTATATAGCTAGAAAAAAAAAAAAAAAAAAAAAAAAAAACGACCGTACACTTGAAATTGTTGGATATACAACGTTAATCATATACATTTATATCATACAATACAGGTTGATCTATTTGTAATACTAATTATAAGTACAGAAAAACAAATACGTAGATAAATGAGAAATAGAAATACCACATCATAATACTTATAATAAAAAGTGTTTTATAAAGACATTGGCAACGCATGAAGCCAATATTACCGGTTGTTATTAAATAGATTCCTTATGAAAACGAGGAAACCAGATAAATGCATATATGATACATTTCTGTCGAGTCTCCTGTATCATGGACCAGACCAAACCGCGCCACCAGTTTTATATTCGGTTTACACAGTCGACTTTTTTTATATATAAAACTGTGTATGCTTCACAACGACTGGTGAAGTCTTGTCAGGAAAGTACAAGCTAGATCATTTGGGGACTAACACATGGTTCCATATCAATTCAATAAATCGCTTGCGGATATGGAGATTTGGCAGTTGGACAGGCGACCCTACTCCGTGCAACCTACAGGAGCTGGGAATCTAACCCACACCATGCTTGACTCAATGACAGACATTATCATCTAAAGCGCACTCATAAGACTACTTCGCCGCCCAACCCAGGATGTTGTCGAAACGTCGTGTTTATATAATAGTGAATGTTATCCATAGAACTGTGTTGTTATATTTTCATCAAACAGTTGGAAATATGACAGTATCCCAGATTACATTTCGAATGAAATTGTTCACGTGTAAAACAACTATCACCGCCCCACAATTGGAAAATCGGACAGTTTCGAAATCGTAACGATTTGCGGACAGAAACCTCGAAAGTTTAAACGTTGTGTAGACAAATGTCATTATAAAGTATCTACAGCAATGTTTCTTAACCTTTTTTTCCCATGATATCACCAAGATATGAGAAAGTTCATATATCATTAATTATAAATATATTGAAAAACAGTTTTGATTAAAACTTTATTAGAAGTTTTATTCATTTGTTACTTAAACAGGCATTACGCAAGAGCTAAATCTGCCTATTGCAGGTCTTTCTTTTGGCCTGAATTGTTATATAAATTATTAATTAGACATTAATTTACTTACCAAGACCATATTCAACTCTTGATGCCATTGGATGGCTTCAATATAACTAGATTTAAATACACCGTAAAAATGGATAATCGAGACTTTGTTATCGTAACAACTGTAGTAATGACAATCGAGGCTAGGCTATAATTGTATCGCCAATACCTAGACCCAGAGTAAATTAATTTGACTGAAATATTCAGCATATTCTCGTTTCATTGTGTATTTGTTAACTATTATAGCGTTTTATCTAATCTTACCTAATGCCACTTTAACTCAGTGGGAGCCCCTGCATTACTGATGCTTGTATATTTGTATGTTATTTCTATACAAAATCTATCTACGCTCCATTCCCCTACCAATACATTGCCACGCTCCATCTATGTTTATAATCACGCCGCCGATGTTTTGAACAACGATTTGGAAGTATAAAAAACGATTACAATTCAATGTGATGTAATATTTCCCGATATGTCCTTCGCCATGTTGAAACTTTGACAGCCCTAGGCACTAGCTAGGTCAGTTTGACATTTCGAAAGAAATTTATTTCCCCGACAGAAAGAGTCATAACATAGCCGATCTCCTAATTTATTTCGATTAATCAGGATGCATTACATTTCTAACTAATGAATTGTAAAATTTATTTTGTCTGAATCTGCTTCGTATTCACCAAGAACAATGCAATCTTTTATAAAGGTGTTAGGGGAAAGTGAGACGAATGAGACGAATGCTTAATGTTTTGATGGATACGGGTGACCCAGTGATAAAAGTACGAAACTTTCATATTACTATGAATATGTCAACAATTATAGATAGAGGTTTGGTGGTTCATTTTGTACATGCAGTTGTGTGAAATGGCCCACCCGTTGGGGTAAAATGGTCAGGTTAATTTCAGCATGACAATAAACGAGAATCTCTCTATTCAAAAGTCCAAAGTCCTACAAGCTGTTTGGCGTGTTACATGACTGCATCCATGCTTGTTCACTTATAAGTAGAAAAATAACTAGACTGTTCCTGTCTTCCTCTTTCAGGCTTTACCGGTACTAAAAACAAGTCAACTAGTTGGTAAAAATAAAAGAACAAAACAAGTGTTTAAATTGACTTTAACATTATGCAAGAGCTAAATCTGCCTATTGCAGGTCTTTCTTTATTAGGCCTGAAATGTTTTCTAAATTATTAATTAGACATTAATTAAACATACATTATGCAAGAGCTAAATCTGCCTATTTCAGGTCTTTCTTTAGGCCTGAAATGTTATCTAAAGTATTAATTAGACATTAATTAAACTATTCATGCCATAATCAGCTCTAGATGGCAGCGCTAGCCTGCGATCTTAAGTGGATTGTAAGCCGATTTACTGCATAACTGGGAATTTCAGTCGCTTAGTTCTCGGTTCATAGTGGATCAATTTGAATGAAATTTTCACCAAATTGCCTTTACATTATCTAGTTTTTAACTATTATAGTGAGAACTGCCAACTCGTTACCGAATCTCCCATAATGTATCTTTAACTGACTCAGGTCATAATCAACTCTCGATGGCATCGGATTTCTCCGATATTAAATAGATTAGAACGGTTCAGATATATTTTGATTTACTCTATCTTAGCTTCGAACAGCGTCAGTACGGTGGTTGAAATTATTGCGTACGTCTTGGCAAACCTTCAAAGGCTAATATCTTCGCTCGTAATAGAGTAATTTGAATGAAATTTTCAAATTATTCATTTTACATGATCTATTTTCGAATTATTATAGCAAGAATGGCTAGCTCTTTATCTAAATCTTACATAATGTATTTTTAATGTACTAATGATAAAATCATTCACGAGCTTACAAAGGTGGCATGTGAAGAAGTCGACACCCCCGGCAACTCAAGCACGGCCACCATGCGCCCATCGACGACGTGTACAGTGCCCCAAATCTAATCAGCTCTGAAAGTAAGTTCTCGTTACAAGGGCGAGTGTAATGAGACCTACGTTCAGAGCTGAACTACACCGAACCCACCCTTCACCCGTTGTTTTAGCTGTAGATAACCGCAACAGTATAAACATTCTCTTCCTCGGATTCACTTGAACGACACTACGATTGCTCAAGCACAATAGCAGTAGCGGATCTAGACGCTGTGAGTGTGTGAGTGTGTGTGTGGGGGGGAACATCTAGGACGAAATGCACAATCCCATTCCATATACTGCCTATAAACTATAACATTTTACATAGATATAGCTTGTTCGCCGTTCGTTATTTCGCCGGAAAGCAGTTGACATAAAGTTCATATGATTATTATTGATTTTGCTATTAAATTTTTGTGAACAATAGGGGCAGTGGCTATAACACTGAGCAACCTGAAGCAGGGGCGGATCCAGGAATTTTTGCAGGAGGGGCCGGGTTTGCCAGCTGAGGCAATGTATCTCCCCCCCCCCCCTCGCGCATATGGTCTCTATCATCATTTTGGCGTATACCGGTACATACACATTGAGCTTTTTAAACAGAAAAATTCAAAACCTCGTTTGGCGTCAATTTTTGTTATGAATTAATACAATTACATTGTGATTCAATTTCATGGATGCAAAGCATTAATTGTGATATCACATATTGACATAATGTCTATAGGCCTATCATTAGGCTATCTCGTGCTTTGAGTGCCCATCCTGTCCCACATCTGACGATAAAGGATAAAGTACACGGCCGAGAAACTTTTCTCATAAAAAGTGTTGATGGATCCGCCCCTGTGAAGAGTCGGGGAGGGGGTCTCCCTGTGAGAAAATTATGAAAAATTAATGAGTCAATAACCTGACATTTTTGAGGTCATTGCTGGGAGATCAGCCGGTCAATTCCGCCTAAGTCTATTTAAGTGTTTTGTAAGAGTTGACAGAACATTTGTAGGCCTACAGTCTGAGTATGGCTGAGTATAAGATTTATAAAATAACAATCGGAATTTACATGGAAGGATGGTTGAGGGGTCCATTTTATCTGAGGGGCCCATTTTGTACCACTTTCCCCTACACCATTAATAAAAAAAATAATAGCCTAGATTAATCTTTTGGTGCTCTTGTCGAGCCTGTCCAACCTCGTGAGTTTTCTCCTAGTACTCCGGTTTCCTCCAACTGCTAAAGACCCCAACGCTCAAGGCAATGATTGAAATAGAATTGAAATCAAATTATTATGTTAGTCCAGAAATGACCTCGTTTGTGTTGAGTGGATACCAAACCCTATTTTCTCTCTTTCTCGCCGACGCTTACAATAGGTGTACTGATCGAAGGGAAACAACTCCTTTTTATGCTTGGAGTTGTGCCCCTTTGAAGCTTCCGGTGCCACGTAAGAAGCCATATTGGTTGTAAAGCTAATAGCGACTGCTTTAGCAACAAGAATTACACCAAGTTTCCTAGATATGGGAGGATCAGTCAGCACCGAAATACCTGGGGGTGGTACGGAGGGATACCATGTGCTACGCGTAAGTATTTTAAACATATTGTGTTGATATGTTTACGCCCAGTTTTATTATTGAACGAATGTGAATTGCCTACTTTAGACTTAGACTCATCATTCGTTTTTATCAGAAAATTGTTGTTTTGTAAAACATGAAAACGAACAAATTAAAATTATTAACATCACCGAACGCAGCAATCAGTACGGAAAGGATTTGCTAAATTTACATTGGGATTATGGATAAAAATGCATTATTAATTTATATATTGTTTGTATATGTTGATGGATCTCGCTCAAACGAGGCATGACCACCATTCAATCACGATCACCGTACATGTACGTCAACACCCTCTCCCTTCCACGTCTACAACATTGAACCAAGGCACATGCCTTAACATATGTATTAAAAATGTAATATCCATCCATGTTCACATTACACATAAAGTTTTTCGAACAGCAATTATTAGTCTGTCATACTCATGGGCATTGCTGTGGCTGTGCAATGATTGTTATGATGCCTTGATATGACATATGACGTCATGCTACAAGTACAATTAAATGAAATGGTGTTTAACATCCTAATGTTCTGCTCCGACTGGGGTAATGAAGACGGGCATACACCATAAAGTGCACCTACTCTTATATCGAAGTCCAACTGCCAAGGGATCTTTTACATGCACGTCAATGTATACACGGGACCTTGACTAGACAGCTGTCCTTGTCTGTCCCTCCGACCTGCACCACTGACGAGGGTAAACCACTTCGGAAAATCCTGATGAACTTTCTCGGCCAATGCAGGGATCAAACATCCGACCTCCAGGCTAGCGAGCCAGATTCTTACCCACTTAGCCACCATGGCTCCACAAGTACAACAATGTACAGTGAGGTTTATTAGCAGCTTTGTTCATAAAGTCATATCAATCATGATCATACATTCACATTTTAAAATACGAAATATAGCTGAAAGTCCTCCAAATATTAGATGCTCAAAGAACTTCGTCTTGTTAACTATCTGTAATAAAATCTTATTATTACCTACACCATAATCTGTCAAAGATCTTAGTTACTTACACCTCCAAAATTTTATTTTTGTCTATAAATAATGACTTGATTTACAATTATTTTAAAGAAACTTAGTCTTGAGTGTATGAGCTTATTGTACCAGGTTGTGTAGGCCTACATTTTCATGGTAGGCTCAATATATAAGACAAGTTACATGTATGTCTCGACCCCACGACTTACCATCATTATCCAATTTTCCACCCATGCCTCCTCACAAGCTGTATCTAATGACATTATGCGCTGATCAGCATAACATTTCACAATTTAATCCATTCAAAGTTAATAGTGCATTGTGTTCTACATTTAAAAACTGTCCAAAACTGTTTTTAAGATGCTATTTTAGTGAGCATACTTTTTTTGTTTTTGTCTGCCATGAAGTTTTACTTCTTTTTCTTTTGATTAATTTTAGGTACAAGATGCATCCCCAGGTCACATTGCTGGATTAGAAGCTTTCTTTGACTTTATTATTGCTATTGGTAACACAAGGCTTGTAAGTTTATTTTTGTAATGTTTTTATTTCTAAAAAAAAAACCAAATGGATAGAAATAATACTTTATACGTTATGGTACACCTATAGTTGAATCACTTGGAGCAAAGCGAAAAAAGATGACTTTCACAGAACAAAATGAAAAGTATATTCAAGGCCATGTGTTCCAGATGGTACAGTTGCCTGTGTTATCACTATTGTGAAAGCAGACATTAAATACCGGCCAGCAATAGTAATAAGCTTTAACAAATATTATGATTAACTTTCAAGATGAATAATTGTTTACAATCAAATTTGAGTATTAACATATTTATTAATCAGCAGATTATCTAGTCAAACAGGACATATTCATTATGTCCTATGTCAATGCAGACAAATAGGATGTTAGACTCCATTTCATTTTATTTCACCTATTTTAATAGATAAACTTATTAAATTTATAACCTTTTCTCTAGTCAAATTTATTACACTGACTACCATCATAAAAACAGTGCTCCCCTCTCATGAAAAATAATTTCAAATTTTACAAAATGTTAAGGTTTAGAGTATGTAACATGTAAATAGGTTAGAAATAATATTCAAGTGTTTCCACAATATTGCAATTTATTATAATTGTTAATGGCCATTGTTATTCTGACACTGCCACATAATAATTTGACAGTTTTATAGTGCAACTGTCTTAATGTCGACAGCTTGCATGTACATGCAGTTAGCTATAGTATTGGCTTAAAGTTAGCTTGAATATTTTCTGCAGTTTAAGCTGTGCTTTAAATTAACCATGGCAAGTGGCAAACCATGCTAGAAGGCTTAATAAAACTGCCATATCAAATCCTCTCTTTTCTAACACTATTAATTCCAATCTGTTTCACAGAGTATTACGAAAGTCTTCTAATATCTCTGTAAAAGATGACTACCTTCAACACGTGACTTTTCATCACACGGCGTTAAATCATTAGCTCAATGGCGCATGCATTGTGTACATGAGACCGTGCTGGTTCGGGCGGAATGGAGCCTTTTACTCATTTTAATACCCATTTACACTAAATACATGTAGGAGATAATTTTTACCTACAAATACGTCAAACGTCTTTATTTATTTTTCTAATACATAAGAAAAATGTTTTAGAATATTATTTGTCGGAGGAAAAAAGTGAATATTTGTGGCTCATTAAGTCGCATCGATGTCATCCTTATCAGTGATTGTCGTGGCCTAGCAAATATTCACTGCTGATCAGTGTGTATTTATTCAATAAATATTTACATATTATAGAAGTACAATATATAATTATGGAATTTGAGAACAAGTCAGAGCTTATATAAATTCATCAAATACTTTAAGGAAAAGGTGTTCCAGTGATCTGACACATGCTTTGTCGATTTAAGAATCTATTATCTATGCAAATTCATGGTTTCAATCCCAGGGTTGTATGTGACAAGAAATAGAGTTTACCCTGGTTAATGTCATATTACACAAACTTTACAATACACACATTATGACAAATATTTTCATTAAGAGGACAATAGTTTTCATTATCAAAGCAGATTTGCCGAAGAAATTGTGTTCATGTAAATTTAGCTTGAGTGGGTATCCATGAGATTACAGTACATAAACTCTATCCACTTATAGTCATGTTAAGAGGTTATACTTTTGATTGACAGATAGAGTTTGAATTGTATTAATATTAGTGCATTTTCATCACAAAACCCCCTACGTGTGAGTAGTTACATGCAAATAAGCAAAAGTCTTGTATGACTTCAGAATCTTTAATTTACTTATGACTATATTACATCCTTGTATTTATTTCTTTTAATATTGACAGAGCCAAGATAATGACACATTAAAAGAGTTGTTGAAAGCTAACATAGAGAAACCAGTAAAGATGGCTGTTTACAGTAGTAAAACACAAGATGTAAGGGAGGTAACCATTACACCAAGTCATAATTGGGGTGGACAAGGATTACTGGGTGTTAGTATAAGGTGAGTATTGCTGTTTTCTTATGCACACTGTATTAAAATAATGGTCCGTGCTATTACATGTAAATAATGTAAAATAATTAGTTGCTTAACGAAGGAATAACTTTGAATATAATTCCCAAGTTTTATTCTTGGTTCATTCGAACCAGTTTATATTTCAATATGTCTGAGAAATACTAGACAATACACTGCACGCACTGCTTTTTTTCCCACATGGTGATAAAAATATTAAAATTGTGGCAAGGTAACAACGTTATTAAAAATATAATGAAATAGAAGGTGTCTATTGATTGGACAATTTTAAAAATAATACCTTATAAAGTAGAATTGGTTAATTTAACTGTAATATAGAAGTAGAATTTTCATGAGCATTTAATATGTTGGAAGAAAGATTCTATTTTGATGGGATTTTCTAGCCTTTATGAGTCTATTTTAAACAGTGGTTATTATCTAGCACTATTTTGTTTTGCCTTATTCCATATGTAGGGTGACAGAAAAAATTATCAACTTGAAAAAACTGTTAAGTGGGGCAAACCAAAAATAATACTCAATATAGGTTACATGTACTTAATTGATCTGTTTTGATTTACTTCAGATTCTGTTCATTTGAGGGTGCTAATGAAAATGTTTGGCATATATTGGTAAGTGATTGTCATTTCATCCTTTCTGTATTGTTCACCCTTTTTATGCCAGTATTCTGATTCTGTGATAATTTTGTGTTTTTTTGTTATAAACAATATTCTATTCTCAGAAAACAATTAAGGAAAAGACTAGGCGTTTGCTACCTTTCTCCTAAATCTGTGATCCTTAAATCCACAAAAAATCTTGTTGCTATGCAATTAAAAGTGTATGTGTATTATATTGTCACCCTGTCTGTCAACATATTTCTTGCTAGTGTGATCAACAGTTATCCGAAGAATTTCAAATCTGGCTGTGTGGCATAATTCCATGTGCTCTGCGTGGCTATCTTCTTTTCCTTCTTATTGAAAGGGATAAAATAAACCAAAATACATTATTTCATGCATGCAAGCAAAAATATGATGTAACAGAGAAAGAAAGACACCATGCTATTATTGTTCTTACAAACTATAATTTATTTTATTACAGGACATTGAGCCAAATTCTCCAGCTGATTTAGCAGGTTTAAAATCAAACAGTGATTATGTTATTGGTGCCGATTCAGTGCTACATGAGGTAGGAATAATTAAAAAAAAACAGCTGGCATAGTTCTGGAGCACACACAAAACCTAAATATTGGTATGAAAATTAGGCTAAATCAGGGGAAGATGCTATGGTTTTGCTGTGTGTTCTATGTCGTCTCTACAAGGAAGAATCCTGTCAATTTTCAAAATTTTTGGACAGTAAATTTCAAATCTGTTATCTTCCTACTCACATTTCTACTTTTATATTAGGTTGTGATTGTGATGCAGGATAAGTTCTCAAGGATTTTTTTTTTAAACTTGTGGGGGGGGGGGGGGGGATGGTTCATTTTGACCCCAAACTCCAAACAAATATAAAGGGCCTCTTGAAGATATCAGCTTATATAATGGATATATCTTATGAAATGGTTAATGACAGGAAGAAACTTAGAGTGCTATAATTGTGAGAGTGTGAGAGTGCTATAATTGTGAGATTGTGTCAGTGTGAGATGCTCTATTGATAATTATTTATTTGTTACAGTCTGAAGATCTATTTACATTGATAGAATCACACGAAGGGAAACCTTTAAAACTATATGTTTATAACAGTGATACTGATAGCTGTAGAGAGATAACAATAACACCTAATGGTGCTTGGGGAGGTCAAGGAAGGTTAGTATACATGTATATATGTTTTGTAGCATATCGTGTTCTGAATACCAAAAAGTAGGTACACCTTGCTATTTTTATACACCTATACAAGCGCTGAAATAAGTGTCCGGACACAGACAATGTCCGGGCGAATTGACCCCTTTTGACAGGCCAAATTGCCTTTCGTCCGGACATAATTTTCCGACCGTGTTTTTGTAAAACATTAAGTCAAAAATATTCAAGTCGATCGCTATTTATTATTAGACTCGAAAGTCCAGGACCAAAAATATCAATGACCCGAGTCATAGTGAAAATGTTACTATTTATATCTCGGCCGCTTGCAGATAAAATCTTCAATAATTTTTAGAATCGACTATTTTACGCTGGTTATATCAACGACCTGAGTCATAGTAAAAATATTACTATTTATACATGTATCTCTCTCCGCCGCGTGAAGATAAAATAATGAATAATATTGAGAATCGGCTCTTTTACACTGGTTATTCGAGTCTCGTAGCTAGCTTTGCATTACTTTCGTACTTTCGTATATGATTAGCTCTAAATCACACCTAACATGACATGTAATTATATAAATTATTAGTAATAAAAGTAATAATATTTTAAAATTAGTTTACAAGAAAATGTTCAAGTTGACTATGGATGTAATTAGGGACAGACTTTTATACGAAAATATCTCACTTTGTTGGACACTTCCGATGTGAATGTAAATAGAAGAGCCATGAAAACATGTCGAATAAAATAACTTCTTACTTTTCCCAACCCTCGGACACGGATATCCCGGCTAGTGGGACCGATCCAGAAAATTCAAAGACTGGTACTCTGTCTTATGTCTCTCATAAAGACACTTCTAAACGGTCGCCGTCACCAGTTCGAAAATTACAAACACGAACCGTAGAAAAGTGGATCAAAAATGACTTGGCAGATTCTGAACCATTTACGACAACTCAAGATGTCTATTCTTTAGTTAAATTTGAATCTTAATCAGAGTTTTTAGGATTTAGTCCCCAGCCCCACCAAAGAGATTAATGACATTATTATATGAACTATAAAGTTGTATTCCATATACATATAAAAACTTAAAACTAATTTATTAATAAATGTATGTATAATAATATATATAAACATAGTAAATTTCAACAGTTTTTTGGTTTAATATACTTTATAAAGTATTTGTCAGGCTGAAAATCTGAAATGTCCGGCCGAAAATCAGTTATTTCAAGACCATATAGAGGTCACAATTCTTATCTGATTTTGATAAAACTTAAAGTATGTTTATATCCCAAAGATCTAGGTTCCTGTAGATATTCATGCATATCGGAGTGTAACTGCCTGGATTATGGCCCCTGATTGTACGAAAAATCAATTCTTTTTTTTTGAGCTTGTTCTCTGTCCATCTCTTGCAAAATGAGGGTTATCTTGCATGGCAACCGCTTGTTGTCTCTTGCACATCTCCAAAACAATACCCGTTTATATAAAAGGAATGCTGAATTGGTTTGCAATTTAATCGTATCATTCTCCAAATGTGCTCAAAATTCCTCTAAACTGGCAGATTGATCTCAAGAGTAATGATGTGCTATTAATACAAAGTGGAAAAACAATCTTGTATTTTGCTAGAAGTTCATTCATTGTATCACATCATTTACATCTCAAACTTTAGCAAATAAACATGAATGTGTATTATTCATGTATCTGGTGGTAATTTATCTTTGTAATGTTTTTCATTTTGATATTTTCAGTCTTGGGTGTAATATTGGTTATGGATATTTACATCGTATTCCTAAACGTCAATTTCCATCCAACCTTCCGACACCAACTAAACAACCTAATTCTCAGTTACCAACAAAAACACAAGATGGTTTCTCAGAGGTTAGTAACAATTAGTAAATCTGTCATTACTAAAAGGCCATTGTCGATAGCTTGAGTGTAACCTGGCCCTTATGAATAGAAAAGGGTCTATGTTTCAATTCATAGAAATTCTGTGACACAATACATGAAAGTTACTGTTCTGTTTTTTTCTAAATTAATTCGCTAGTGAACTAGAACTCCATAATTATTTTGCTTATGATATTTCAGGTCTCTCTTGGTGGATCTTCTGGTAATATAACTCAAAATCTAACTAATTTGTCTTTAAATACAGGTAAATATTACTAATTAGTAGCATGTGTTAAACTATCTGGAGTATACTGTGATATATAGTCTACCTGCTTTTACCTGTATTGGTTGATAACAGGTCATTTACCAATATGGGCTGTCTATGTGCCCTTTCACACAATGAGTACAAATGCTAAAGATTACATAGTCATTGCATAGGTTACATAGTCAAACGAAAAAACTAACGTACTTCATTATCATCTTAGGTGTAAATTGTCATGTGTTAGTCTTAGGTGTAGTTCATAAAACCCATGTTCCTTACTGCTAAATACTTTCTACATCTGATTTATATGGCACAGTGGGGGTTGGATGGCCGAATGATTAGTACATGCGTGCTGTATCATAAAGTCTGTCATTGAGTCAACAGGCATGGTTTCGATTCCCCGGGTTGTACATGACAAGGAGTAGAGTCGCCTGTCCAACCTCGTGAGTTTTCTCCAGGTCCTCCGTTTTCCTCCCACTGCTAAAGACCCCTACGAGCAAGCGAATTATTGAAATAAAATTGAACTATATGTTAGTCCCGAAATGACATAGTTTGTGTAGAGTGGACGTTGAACCCCATTTCTCTCTCTGTCTATATATATATATATGGCACAGATAAATGTGGATGGAGTTCATAAGAGTGAGAATGGTAATAGTGACTGATGCTAGTGAACACTGTCAGAAATTATTAGAACACTGATTGCTCAAGTAATTAAATGACGGTTCACAATATAACATTGATATTTTTGAATTAATGTCACACGGATAATAACAATGATCTGGTATTTCTATTGTCTATCAGTTTACGATCATGATTATTATACAGTTGATCCAACCTCGTGGGTTTTCTCTGGGTCCTCTGGTTTCCTCCCACTGCTAAAGACCCCTATGCGCAAGCGAATTATGTAAATAAAATTAAACCATATGTTAGTCCCGAAATGACCTAGTTTGTGTCGAGTGGACGTTAAACCGCATTTCTCTCTCTCTCTCTCTCTCTCTATTATACGGTTGATATTTTAAATTAATGTACCCTGAATAATGCTTATGATAAAAAAATAGTGGATGTCAATACCTTGGTTAGACAGGTGGGGGGATAATATCACTCAGTGCCCTTTGAGGAAAACCTATGTTAAATTTTATTTTATGTTTCAGGAACTCCAACTATTCCCGTATTGCCGACATCAGTTGGTGTGCCTGTACCTTCACCACCCGGTGGAGCTAATCCTGTTTCCCTAACAACAAATGTTTCACCTCTTATCAACACAAGTAATACATGTTTATAGTGATAGTCTTTTATTAGATTGCTTTTTATTTTGTAAGATGCTGGCTCGCTAGCCTGGAGGTCAGGTGTTCGATCCCTGCATTGGCCGAGAAAGTTCATCCAGATTTTCCTGCGTGGTTCCCCCTTTTCAGTGATGCAAGACGGAGGATCTGACAAGGACAGCTGTCTAGTCGTTTAGATGGGACGAAAAACCAAGGTCCTGTGTATACATTGGTGTGCACGTAAAAGATCCCTTGACAGTTGGAATTCGATATAAGAGTAGACTGTAGTGCCGATGTCCGGGCAAAATTTCCCTCATATCACATTGTATGGCATATGCCAGTCTTCAATAGCCCACTTTGGAGCAGAACAGTAGGACATTAAACTCCATTTCATTTCCTTTTTATTTTTCTACGCACACACTGCTTACTGTCAGAAAGTTTGATGTGTATAGTGTTGTGGGTTTTTTTTTTTGTGGTTTGATGTGTATTGCATTTCATTTAGTTTTTTTGTGGTGGGTGGGGATGGACACATGGATCTCCCTGGATGTCACAGACTCTACCGGATCCCCATTTATTAAAGAAAACACTGAGCCAAAGACTTGTAATAATATCAATGGGGTGTTACTTGGCAACTGGGATTTTAAAACTGTGGCATGATTCCGATCTCACTATTGGTAGACTAATACATCCAGATGTTAACAGATAGCACATGAATTATGTCAGGACTTAAAAACCTAGGATTTGTGACTGTGTTGTTATAGTCATAAGAATCTTCCGTCTTCATTAACACAGTCAGTGCAGAAAAGTAGAATGTTAAAACCCATTTCTTTTCATAAGAATCTTCTGCCAATGTTTGATTTCTAAGGGGCGTGGTTCCCCCTTGTCAGTGATGCAGGACAGAGTGCCTGACAAGGGCAGCTGTCTAGTCCTTTGGATGAAACGAAAAACAGAGGTCCTGTGTATACCTTGGAATGCACGTAAAAGATCCCTTGGCAGTTGGAATTCGATATAAGAGTAGGCGATAGTGCCACTGCCCGGGCAAAATTTCCCTCATATCACACTGTATGGCGTATGCCCGTCTTCATTAGCCCAGCATAGGAGCAGAACAGTAGGACGTTAAACCCCATTTCATTTCATTTGATTTCTAAGGTGACTTTTCTGACCTATTGAATACTGAAAGTTTTTAACATCCGTTATTCATAATATTATGTCTTTTTATGTAACAGGTTTACCCCCTCCAATAAGTTTACCAAATTTAGCAGATGTACCTGGAATGGCATCAATGCCACCTATATCTCTACCTGGCTTTCCCCCGATTTCAATGGCTCCTTTAACTTCAACATCACCAGGTCAGTATTATTCATTAACAAATTTATGGCAGCCAATATCCAAAAATGAAAGTGTTATGTAAAATTCGCTGGATTCAATTTCATTAAATATGAAAAAGCAAGGGGAGTAAGTACTTCTCAAAGTATGCTAAGTGTTTTTGACTAAAATTGGCGATGCAGAAATTAAAATGTTGGTCAAGTAGCTTTGTGTCTGTTCTCAAGCGGAGCTAATTTTAGATAGATAGCACATACGTTTTGTATGTAATAATTAATAAAATATCTATGCTTAGGCTATACTGTCTCCACTAACTCTTATAATTAATGAAAACGATGTGCTTAGGCTAATTTTAGATTGTCAGTTTCAATGTTCGATGCTATTCAAAAAGACAAATGTTCAATTAATTGATACGAGTCCTCTATTTATGGCTTGTTTATTGCATTTAGCAACAATGACCATGTGAACATTTAACTGTTGTTTATTATTGGTTCAAATTTCATTTAGGAATTATTAACTCGCTACAATTAACAATTAAAATTATTATATATAGACTACCTTGTGACTACCTTGTCACATGATTTTATACAAAATTTGTACAATGTGCTTAAATACCTGTTGATTTTTCATTTTCGTAATGAAGACAATTAAATTCTAGACTTTATTTTTATTTATTCCTTCATATTGTTTTCTGTTTTTACCCATTTAAATTCAACAGATCTTTTTAATATATTATGACAATTCCCCATATTAATATATTGGAATCCATACTTCTGTATTGGAGAATTATGAGGTCACAAGTTAATAATATTGAAGGTCGTATATTAATAACTTATTTTGGGGCATTTGGGCATGCTAATAACAAAAGCAAGAGAACTGCACGACACTTAAACAAACAGAAAGTAATATTTCTCTTACTTAGTTAACCAAACACAATATTTTGATACAGAACTGAAAAACAACTTTATAATCAAAAGGTTTGTTTCAAAGTGGGTACATGTATTTAGAAATTCAATGTCTTTGTTGCAAATGGCTACCATCAGTTCTGTGCACCGCACGCCAAGAACTTGCCCTAACAGACTGGTTCAATGGCTAATCCCTCACATCAACAAAAATGCGAGTTATCTAACAACTCTTCCAGAACTACAACAAAACGAAATAAAATAGGATCTGTGTTTTAATCCGAGTGATACTAACAATGATGTCTTAGACTTGTATGTAATAATTGCCTAGAAATCTTCAATACAACCTGTTAATTACAATACTTTTCAGGTGTTTTGTCATCTTTACCACCAATGACAATGCCAGCTCCAGCACCGTTACCGAATTTAGCTGGTTTTCAACAATTCAATGCATCTGGTGGATCACCATTGACGACTTCTACAGAACAAGTTACACCTGTAGCTAGTGCAGGCAGTACCACTCCTGTTGCCACAGCAACTATGTCATAGAATATTTAATTTATGTGTGATTGACAATTCTGGGTGAAAGGTGCTGATTTTAGGAAGGCTGTTTTTGGTGAAATGTGACTGAAGAGACTGTTTTGTGATGGGTTTTAAAAGACCTATGAGGGGGGAAAACTGTTGGGATAGAAAATAGAAAAAAAAAACATACCTGGTCTCACGATATCAGCTGCATTTGTATTCAAATGATTGTATATATTCACAGAACTGCATCCAACTTTTTCTCACAGAAAATGACGAAAAATCTATAATTTGGCTGACTTTGTTGTAATTTAGTAGTTTATATTGACATGTAAAGCAGATTTTCAAATATCAAAACTTTTGGTTTTGTACACTATATTGGTAGCCAAGAAGAAATTTTCAATGTTGAATACCAAATATCATTTTATTTTGTATAAAGGAAGATTATTTTAAAAATATAACAGTGATCTGATATTCATATTCTCTTTACACCAGTGAACAAAGTATAGAAGTTATAAATTGTTATAGAAATGTATACTCTAATACATGTACGAGATGTTTTTTTAGATGATATTGTATACCCATACTATATGTACTGTAAAACCACATTATACTTACGGTGCGGCATTGACAAACCCTCTACAGTGGGGCTGGCCAATCTTTTACATACCATGCGTTAATTTGCTCACACAAATTCAAATGCACCATATAAATCTTGACCAACATACATAATTAGCAAACTGAATTTTTCGAAGAGTACAAAGCTTAAAATGTTCTTAAAGGACAAATAAAGTCAGTGGCTCTACAGAATCCATTCATCGGATCCAAAAAAGGATTTCTACATATATCTTGGACAATAATATTGACACTGAAACAGATTCTGTTTGTTTTAGGCCGATACCGTTATGTTTCATCCTTTAGAAAATCACTATTGTACATATTATTATGACTCAAAAGGAAAGATAACAGATGTTTGGTCCATGTATATCTGTGCATGAAAATGTTCCTGATAATTAATTGCTATGGAAATGTGATAGTCGTATGTTTGTAAATCCTGATAATTAATATTCTTATGAAAACAATTAATTCTAATCAATATGGATTTTATTCACTTAAATTATAGTTCTAGAACAAGGCATTGATATTAAATACTTGTATCACATTACATTATGTCGGAGTATTTTATTCATTGTTTAAGATAATTAAGTTATATAATGTAAAATAATGTATAACAATGCAATAATCATGTGTTAAAATGGATATTACCTCAGGTTAAGAGCGTTGAGTTGTCTAAGATACACACTAACACAAATCTTAAGACTTTGCATACTTGTTCCATGTATAAAATAACCCACAGGACACAACAGTCAGACCGTTTGTTGTGTAAGAATGGAGACACAAGCCTGTAGAAAAAATCTATTTGTAGCAAAGGAGAAGATTTCCCCGACCTAGATCATTTGTTGAATAAATTATGACGTTGTACACATCGGTCCGCAGTAAATTTAATGGCTGCCTCCAGTAACAGTTTTACACTGGACCACCGTATTCGAAATGAGTCATGTCACAAGAAGGAATTCTATCTATGATGCGATTATTCAGGTCTATCATCTATCATGACTGGAACATCATTGAGTTTCTTTTTTTCATGATTGAAGACTAGCATTTTTGAATGTATCAAATAATTTTGAGTGAGACGGAGTAGTGCACTGCTGAATTAAATATTTACTTTTTACATCCGAATTGTTGTATTTTAAAACATGTCGTGGACGTATTCAAAGAATTTACTGAAAATTACAAAATCTTGTTTGAAGGTAAATAATGAACAAGGATTTTAAAATACTTTGAGTAGATATGTTTTAACGTCATTGGTGTCAAAATGCCGATTATAACCTCTAATTTTCATCTGGGGGAGGGATTATCGATATCTCTTTTTAGCATGAACTTATAGAATTTCAAAGAAAACTCATCACTTTCCATAAATACCAGACAAGGTTTCTTGAACATGTGCATTTGGCATTGTTCATGCAAAATTTGATGAAAGTCCATGCAGGCATAACTGAGAAAATTTGACTTTTGTTGTCCACCTTTTCTTATTCTTTTTGGCCAAGTTTGGAACATACTCAGTGTGCATACTCAGCGCTCTTAAGAGTTGTCTTAGGCTTGTGTGTTAGGCAGTTCAGTCCATTAGTGGTAGAAATTGTGTACATTATTCTATTTTAGTGAATAGTAGCTGTCATACAAATCCGTCTAGCTGACAAAAGTGCAATAACTTTTGATGAAAGAGACATTAAGGGAGATAACTCTTAATATGAACACCATTCACTATTTAAATTAACTTCGGTTTATAGGGACAATTCATAAAATGTAAGATCTGAATGAATCTCATTATTGTATTGTCATCATCATTTAGGTAAGAAATTATATTTTGTTAAGGAACATTTGTTTCCTTAAAGATTTATGTCATTTTGGCTTGTAAAGATTTAATTATTGTAAATACATTAGTTTGACTAGGGCAATTTTTTTTTCTGTTCTTTAAATAAATGCATGACAATAGGAAAGACAATTCTTATCATCTCAATAGATGAAGTACAGCTTTGACCATTAAATTTCTCAATTTCATGTTTGGCATTTATCTTAATATTGTCAGTGACATCCCTGTGTTTAATATGGGGAAAATTTGCATCATAGATTGTATTAATTTCAATTCAGTAGTTATTTGTATTAAACCTAAAAAATTTGTCTACAATATCTTAGCTTTCGTGCAAATCTTCTGCATCGGTAGGAATATCATTGCAAAAGTTAGCCACAGACTGTTGAAAGGCATAGACAATGTGTTGTTTAGAGTGAAGATGACACACGATCAAATAAACCAGCCTGAATAAATACCAAAATTTAATTCATATTATATAAAGCATCCATTAAAATCTACTTATAGATTCCATCTTAATAAATCTGACTTTCAAACAGTTTCAGTGCTTTAAGATATTGTTACTTTGATTTCTTGTAATTGTTTTTTTTTTCTGTATTTGTTATTGTTTAAGTTTGCATTTTATTCAAATCACTTTAAACCATGTTCTGTTGTGAAAATTGTTCCAAAGTGGTTCTTGTAGATGGCAAGATGTAAATGTTATCAAAATGTCTGTTTTAAACTTATACAACTATTGATTCAGTCAGTGTTGTGGGAAAGATGCTAGGCTGGAGATGACAAGGCTTGAGACAGATTGGCTGAAAATAATATTAACAAGATGAAAGTTTTATCATGGGTACAATTAGCCCGAAAATAAGACATCACATCAATTCAAGATTATCTTTTTTCTAGAGGAATCTGGTTTCAAAATGCTAATATGAAGGTCACTTCTGAGACCGACTTTGCTTTGTCATGTTGACTGACCCAATTGGGTACTTCCTATAGTATATTTACAAGTTTTGGATAGACAAATGATTTCGACTTATCAGTTAAGCTTGTATAATGATGTCAAACTAATGCAACACTTATATCTTATATCTTAATGTATATTTATGAAAATGTAATACTATTTAAGAACTCATAAATTTGGGAATTTTTTCATTTTTGATCTTTATTGTTCTTTATAAGAAAGGTGGTGGAGATGGTTGTATGGTTAACGTCCTACTTTTCTGCTCCAACTGGGCTATATACATGTAGTCTACTGTGAGGGGAATTTATCCTTGACGGCGACGATATGGCCTATATCGAATTCCAATGTGTACACAGTACCTCATTTTTTCATACAAACTTCTTTGTGCCATCCGAAGGACTATATGTTGTCCCATGCCAGGCTCTCCATCCTGCAGCACTGACAAGGGGTAAGCATGCTTGAGAATCCCGACCAACCATGGGATCTCTAGGTTAGCTATCCAACACTGGAGCCACTGCGGCTCTCAATAGGAAATTGCACTCCTTACTTCTCACATGTCAGGTACTTTCTTCATTAGCCCAGTCGGTACAGAAATTGGACGTTAAGAAATGTATCCAGTAGTTCAGATGGTATGTAAATGCAAGGATCTGTGTACAAATTGTAGTGGGTGTATATGAAACCCTGGCAGTTGGAATTCGAGAAGGCGGAAATGCCACTGTCCAGGAAAAATTGCCCTTGCATTACACACATAAAATTTCTGAAATATTGTGTTAACCAGATGTTAATCCTCCTTCCATTTAAATGAAATGAAATGGGGTTTAACGTGCTCTGAACTGGGCTAATGAAGACGGGCATGCGCCATACAGTGTGCTATGAGGGAAATTTTTCCCGGACAGCGGCACTATGGCCTACTCTTATATCAAATTCCAACTGTCAAGGGATCTTTTATGGGACCTCGGTTTTTCGTCCCATCCAAACGACTAGACAGCTGTCCTTGCCAGACCCTCCGTCCTGCATCACTGACAAGGGGAACCACGCCGAAAAATCTGGATGGACTTTCTCGGCCAATGCAGGGATCAAACACCCAACCTCCGGGCTAGCGAGCCAGCGGCTTACCCTCTTAGCCACCCTGACCCCCCCTTCCCACATTCACAAGCTCTAGAGGCTAAAGTTAATATCCGATTGACTTAAAATTAATACACCTTGTTGAAGGTCATGAGACGAAGAAGCTTATTGATTTTCACTGCCAGATCTATGGTCCTTGACCACTTTGAAAAATCTTGTGGCCGCTCTCGAGACTAAAGTTCATATCTGATTGACGTTAAATTAATACACAGTGTTTAAGGTCATGAGATGAGGATGCATATTGATATTCAAAGGTTTCTGATTATTACTTCCAAAGTTATGGCCCTTGATATTAAATGTATGCATTAGTATAAGGCAGAACTAGAAGCCAAACAAATTCTAATGATTACTTAATAGGGTTTTACTTGTACTCAGATTTCGTTTTCATTACTGACAAAAGAAACAAAAGATGTGACAACCCTTGAACTATCTGTAAAAATTTTACCATAGACAGTTTTGTTTGTCGAAATAAGTGAAGTCCAAATTGAATGGCAGTCACTCACACCTGGTTAGTCCAGTCTACATCAGAGGTTACAGTTTGACACTTCACTTAGCCTCATTCATCAAGGTGCCTCATTACAAATTGCACTTGCGAGCATAAAGTACAGGCCTGCATGTTCTGGTTTTAAAATTGTTCAGTTTGTCTTAAATATTGGATATCAGGAGCCCATATTTTCACGGTAAGATAACCAAATGAAATGGGGTTTTACATCCTAATTTTCTGTGCCAACTGGATTAATGAAGACAGGAGGTAAGTTAACATCCCTATTGATTGGAATGGACCAACAATGTTTGTAATGTCGAAGACTCTGGAAAATAGTGAGTTAAAGCTTTACACCCTTTAAATAACATTGATCCTATTGGCTAATCAAAATCAAAAACAGAAATACCAGTTGTTTGGCTAAACATAAGCATGCCACGCCTCACACACGACACCCAACAATCCCACATTAATTGTTCACCAGTGAAGTTGATAATCAACAAGAGCACAGATTTTCTGAATGAGCAAATATAAATTTAAAGAGAGGGCAAAAAATATTTAACAAAAACATTTGTGGATGTAGTGTCACATAAACAAAAAATACGGAACAGTGGAGTTTTATTTAACCATAGTACAGTTTATTTTTTATATTTGTAATTTTTCTTCTTAATTTATTCACACTCCTATACAAGGCTAAATTTTGACGGTTATTTAGAGTGTAGGAAGGAATATCAAATATACATGTAGATTCAGTTGTATTATCCGCCATTTCTTGTATTGATTTCTCATCATAACATGTATCTTTACTGTTGCAAGATATTGTGTCACTGTCAGTGTCACTACCTATTTCAATAATTTGAGGTTCTTTAAGTGTTTCAGAATTTGAAACATTGACAGTTTGATAAGGATCACTACATTTTGTTTTCAAAGTGCCATCTTTATTAAAATCACACAAACTTGGGTCAATGGTATTTTTAACTGCATCCAAAGAACTTCCTGATGCACCATCCATGTCAAATTGTATTTGTGATTGTGGGTCTGGCAAAAAAGTGTTAGCGTCAGTCCCAACAATCTGCAATTTGACTAACTTTTTACCATCACCAGTTTCATCGTTGATGTAAACATATTTTGGAAAATTGGATAAATCTGGTAGGGTGCCATTTTGTTCAGTTTCATCATCTGTATTATGATTAAAACACGGTTGTATTAATATACTAGAGATATTTGGATGTACATTTAAATCTTTCACTTTTGTGCCATTAAGAGAATCCAAATTGGTTTCATGTGCCAAAGATATTTGCAGTTCTGAATGAGAGAGTGGTAAATCCAAATTGGATAAATCTGGTAGGATCTCATTCTTTTCAGTATCATCATCCATATCAGGATGGAAATACGGTTGTATTAATAAATTAGAAATGTTTGGATGTAAAGCTTGTACCCCTGTACTTCTGACAGAATCCAACTTGGCATGATCAGATGAAGATGCTTGCAGTTCTGGATTAGAAGCTGGTAAATCCAAATTGGTTTGTTCTGACGAAGATATTTGTAGTTCTGATTCAGAGGGTGGTAAATCCAAATTGGTTTGTTCTGACGAACACATTTGCAGTTCTAAATCAGAGGGTGGTATATCTTCTTCTTGCTCCAGATCATTATCTGCATACGTTAATAACCTCCTTAATTTTGTATTACAATTAGTCTCTTTCAAAACTTGGCTGGACAATGAAAGGTTTTGTTCTTGATCATCAGGGCAAAACTTTTTATTTAATTTATTATGAAGTAGTTTTTGATCTATCTGCACATCATCAGATATGGATGTAGAAAATTGCAGTTGTAATAATTCCAAATTTGTCTTATTATTTTCTTCACTTTCTACACCATTCTGTGATGACTCCCTGGATATTTCAGCTTTAATACTATCCGGAGATCCTTCCTTGCTTAATGTCTCAAAAGCATTCATTTGATATTTAGATATAAAATCAGAATTTTGATTAAGAGTTTTTTCAGATTCTCCATTTGTAATACAAAGTTGTTCATATTTGTTCGATTTTAATAACACACGAATGTCTACTTCTTTGAAGTTATCAACTGAACCGTGACACAACAATTTACAAGTATCCGACACAAACATTTCTGAACACCGATTTTCAGATTTATTTTGAAGACCCTCTAACTGGTTGGGTGACTCTTCCTTCATATTCTCTAGTTTGTCTCTTTTTCTTTTCTTTGATTTTACTGGCGATTTCGAGGAACATACAAATACTGAAGGCACATAATCCAGAGATGATGGGCTGTCATTTTTTTTACCTGTAAAATAAAAAAAGATATAAATGTGATTGTGAAAGACAGGTACACTCATGGAGTTTGATAAAAGTATCATGATTTCATGAATTTGCAAGTAAATGGGTCGGGTGGCAGGATAACTCATATTATGAATTTCGTTAAGGTTCTCCCTCTTGAATAATCTCACTAAATGACAAATTTGAATTAATTCCATTACGAACCATTTTTCTGTGTTCACTTAAATATTCAAATTGTGAACACTACAAAATGGGTTGAAAATATTTAATTTCATTTTGATTGGTTACTATTATATATAGTATATAACCAATTAAAAATCCCTGCAAAGTTTTATGACCAGAAGTGTAGTCCACAAAAGACTATTTGCCCTTTTGGAGCTCCACAGTAAGTCGTATTTTAATTGTGTTCTGTCTGTGCTACCGTATATTGATCAAAGCCGTTGATTGTAGTCTCGATTAACCACACTCCAAACATGGCGATAACAACAAATACGATGTCTATACAATGGCAATGTATTATACAGACATGCAATGACATTATGTAATAAAACAAACTAAACACAACTGAAATTAAGGTATTATTAACATTTAGAAATATTTAATGAATTATGAGATAACCTGATATAAAATGGGCGCTGCAAAGCCTCGAATATCTTGTTGGATTCCACGACCATTTCTCGTCTCGTGCTGCTGTTTTCACATTATTTATCCACAACTGGCGCCTTGTTTCATTAGCAGGAAATCTGTAAAACGACACTTCGCTTCTTTCTTGATACTGCCGATTGTGGCATCCATATGCTGAACAAGACAAGACCATTATGTTAACTAAATGCTTGACATAATACAGTTTTTACACATGAACGTTTCTTGACCCACTTATAACCTGCACTTGTGTGTCAATCTTGCCGTCCAATGTGGCGGACGGGTTAATCACGTGACCAATGGTTTCACGTATTATGGTTCAGTAGTTGGTTTACCCACTACCTTTTCTGGTCGGCGGACGTTAAATAAAGTTATTTCACACACATAAATACAGACTTCGTCAAACTGATATTTTACTACTGCTCCATTATAGTTTGTAATTCTTTCTTCAAGCTATATAGACTGGGCTAACGGGGTCAACAATTAGTTTCAAATTAAATGAAATGAAATGGGGTTTAACGTCCTACTTTTCTGCTCCTAACATGGGCTAATGAAGACGGGCATACGCCATACAGTGTGCTATGAAGGGAATTTTGCCCGGGCAGCGGCGGTAAGGCCTACTCTTATATCGAATTCCAACTGCTAAGGGATCTTTTACGTGCACGCCAATGTGTACACGGGACCTCGGTTTTTCGTCCCATCCGAACGACTAGACAGCTGTCCTTGTCAGGCCCTCCGTCCTGTATCACTAACATGGGGAAACCACGCCGGAAAATCTGGATGGACTTTCTCGGCCAATGCAGGGATCGAACACCCGACCTCCAGGCTAGCGAGCCAGCGTCTTACCTACTTAGCCACGTGATCCCCTTTCAAATTAAAAGGCCCTATATATATCTGTTGAATTTTTCTGTTACGGTCTTAATCAGCCCCAGTCGGAGCAGAACAGTAGGGGCGTTAACCCCCATTATAACGTGATAACATAATTTAATTAGCAAAAGTACAGGGCAATTAGCCGTGGCAGACCCATGATAATTGGTTGTTGGTGGTGGGGGAAGGGGATGAGGGGTCCTCCTATGAGAAGAATGGGTGTGTCGGATTTCTTTGGTGGGCGCATGTCTGGACGTGACGATTTGATATTATTAATGTTATTGGGCGGATTGTGTGGGGGGAGGGGGCTATTGAACCACAAGACCATCCAGTACCAACTCTTGCCCCTAATTTCGAGCATATTTAAATTGTTGCCTTTGCCATTAATAATATGTTGTCCCAATCATTATTACACTACACAAAAAGGGGCGAATCCTGTTTTAGGGGTAAATGTGAGTTTTCTGGTAGTATTTATGTAAGTGTTTCGAATGTTTGGATCTATGCATATTTTACGTAGAAATGTAAATGGGTTGAAATTGTCTTTTATTTAAAATTCACGCTATTTATATTAATTTATTCATTATTTTAGTGGTGTGGTTCTGTCGTATGTTGTTATCTTACTTTGGCTACAAATGAAACCTTGATATGCATACACGTCAGCGTTAATATTAGATGTTTGTCGAAAGGCAGTGAATGTAAAATAATTCTGATATTTTGAGTATTCCTACTATACAGATTCTTAAGCCAAATAAACAACAGTACTTGGCCACAAAAAAGTGATCGGGCGGTTAGAAAATCTTTTTATTTTTTTCGTGGGGTTTGTGGGTTAAGCATCGAAAGAACTAAGTGAACGATGAACTAATGAATTACCGGTAATCTTTTAATCAACTACATCGATACTTGCAGTCTATAGTCGTTGTCATGGCATTAAAATATGGCAAAGTATTCATTATATTTCCTGGGGTAGCTTAATTAGTGAGGAAAGTTCTGTAATATATCGCTGTCTGCAGAAAACCGCGCCAAGATCTATTTAAATAGGATGCGGAGGGTGATCACAATTTTGAGTAAACCCCTGTTCAAAATAATTTTTTTTTTGTTCCCCTAGCCAACAAATCCACCTGGAATGCTCTCTGAGCCCCCCACCCCCGCGATTTAACCCTATTTGCATATTTTTTTCAATTTTGAGCTTGCCTAACATCAAATAATGGCTTATCATGCGATTTTATATAGGTTTTCGACGGTGCTGAGTCCAAATATGGCCAGAGATATAATCTCCGAGTATCGAATATGGCGGCTAAAATTGACCATTCTCAGAAATAGAAAACCAATACAACACAATATGTTTGTAATATGACATTTTATAAGTTTTCGAGGGTGCTGATTAAGAATATATGGTCAGAAATGGAACATGAACATCCAATGTAGTGGTAATACTAAATGGGTGTCTACAACTGTTACATCTGAACAACGATCATGTCAGGTACAAACTCTGTATAATGAAATGTTTTACTCATGTATTTCCAGACTGTATATAATTAACGTAGGATAACTACACGGTAGCCAACTACGATACGCTCCACATCACAGAGGCAGCTAGATTCTAGGTTGTACATTGAAAAACCAATCGGATTAAAATACAGATCTATATTTCGTTTCGTTTTTTTTTATACTTTCGATGGCCTACACTACATGAAGATCTGACCGGTTGTTGCGATAGGTCACGTCAGAGGTCATACGAGCGGCAAGTGAGTGTTACTATTGGATTACCACAGTTCCGTGCAAAACACGCCTAAAGCTCGTCGTAACAGACCGTTTCATTAGCTAATACCTCGCACTATTCAGAACATGTCAATGATAACAACTCTTCCAGTAAAACGAAATTTTGAACTATAAAAACGAAACGAAATACGATCTGTGTTTTAATCAGATTGATTGAAAAACCTGATTTTTAGAATTGTGTTCTCCCTGCATAATCTGTTATAGTGAAAATGTGATGTATCTGATGCGACCGAATCGTGCTGGGCAAGAGCAAAGGTCAAAGGACACTGCTTCATTAAATCTAGCAGAATAAAAAAAAAAAAATAAAACTCTATCCAGAGTTCACAAATTTGATACAAACTAGAAAAGGACGTCGAAACGAGAAATACAATGAAAGAGTTGAAGAATTAAACCAATTAAGCAGCAAACAATATCTTGGTTATAACTACCCCATTCTATTTCTGTATAGAACATATGAAAAATACGAGTGTCTTAGATATAAAAATTTCTTATCTATGATATAGTTTTTCTAGACAATTTGAAACTGCACTCCCACTTTTTCGTGATCATTCAATTGCTCCGAAAACCAGGTTGGTTAAGTATGATTCCTTATAAATTTAGTCATTATTTTATGGTCAAAGTTAGGTAATGCTACTGACCCACGCTAGCTCACTAACCAGGGAATCTCGGGACATAATCTATTGTTGTTCGGAATTGTCCAACGTTGTTTCTCCTCGAAAATCGATTTGTGACACTACCATCCTGTGTCACAAGACTATCCTTCTTAACGACACCAAATAAAGCGATGTCTTAATATTCTATAGTTCTAAAATCCTCTTTATATAAGGAGAAAAACTACAACAGTTTTGATCTTTAAAAAAATCCAGTGTAAGTTATAACCAGACCTGTAGTCTGCGAATGAGTTATAGATTGACCAATGAGGAATTGTGACGTGGATCAACCACCCCGTCCTAATACATGTATAGGAACCGAGGAGGAAGGGGCAACTGATGGTGTCCATAGTCTTCTGACAATTCGCTCAGAGACGTCCATAACCAAAATAATTTGCAGGAACCTAATGAATCCAAATCTAGTTGCCCAGTCTAGACAGATACTCCAAACTGTCTTAAGCACTTATATTATTCTATCTATGTCCCCTCATACAAAATGGAATGGAATGGGGTTTAACGTCCTATATACTGTTCTGCTCCGACTGGGCTAATGAAGACGGGCATAGGCCATACAGTGGGCTACGAGGGAAATTTTGATACCCCTGTATCGAAATCCAACTGCCAAGGGATCTTTTACGTGCACGCTAATGTATACACGGGACCTCGGTTTTTCATCCTATCCTAACAACTAGACAGCTGTCCTTGTTAGGCCCCAGCCCTGCAAATTTAATTCTAAAATAATATTTCAAATTATTATGAAAAAAATAAATAAATGGATATTTCCCATTTTGTATGAATAGGTACATAAAATAGTACGCGGCGCAAAATGAGTAAAATGCGGCAATTGTGCCCGGTCGGTTATGTTGTACAGTTGATAAAGAAGGCTTTCGTATTGCCGTTGTGAAACAGTCTGCAACATTACCCTGGGTCGGCATAGCAATGAGTGCAACTGATAAGAACATTTGACGAATGGGCAAACAGATGTAACCACACCACTATCAGTAGAATATTTAACTAAAAAGCGGGGAGTATACAAATATATATTTTATATGTATGACCTTGATTAATAATTACATAAATGATTGTTAAAACTCATTTCAGCTACACCGTTTGGACCTAAACTACATTTAATAATCTCCTCCTTCATATTTCTGAAAAACCGGAAGCTAACTATTTCATTTGGTCCACCAGAAAGCGTAAGGAACATATCCACTGAATTAATTCTAATTTCTTTTACCCGATTACTAGACACTGGTGCCCATTTGTTCATTTCACCATACACTAAAACGTTGTCATGTCTGAAATGAGAATGCAATATATAAAAATAGGTAAATATACAGAAGGATCGTACCAAAACCCGAAGACCCGTGTATACATTGGCGTGCACATAAAAGAACCCTTGAAAGTTGGAATTCCAAATAAGAGTAGGCCATTGGACCGCTGGCCAGGCAGATCTTTTTATAACACAATGCATGTCGTTTGACCGTCTTCCTTTGCCCAATCGGCGCGAAGCAGTGGGCGTCAAACCCCATTTAATACTTTCATTCATTGAAAAATTTATCTTGAATGCCTTTCTAATCTGTGATTTGGTTGCACTTTTAGATCCACGATACTTTATGATATAGTAGAACACTAGCCGTGTGAACGACTTAGACGAGAAGTGCTCTAGAAAGAGTACATATGCTCTGTCTTGAACACGGCATCCGTCACTACTTGTAGCTGACTGTAGCAACGAATGTATTTTAAGAAATAAAGTTCTCGCCATTTTATCATATAAATATCTACAATTCTATTTGTCCAGAAATCGACATTATATGATTCATTCCAACTTACCCAACTTTAAAAACCGGACTATAATAATATAAACAAAAAACTGTAGTTGCACAGTCAGTGGTTATCTGTAGAGGTTTGCTGTCAGTAAATTCGACAAGGTTGACATTAATATATAAATCACTACTCATTAATGTTGCATTGTTTGACGACTGAAATTATAATGACACAATATTACTAATTAATAGTGTGGTATTACCCGATAACTGAAAGTAAAGCTTGACATTACACTGTAGATCAGTAATCATTAATGTGGCATTACGACTGAAACTAAAGGGTGATATTAATATATAGATCATTATTCATTATTTACAGATTTTGATAAAGAGCTGCCCCTTCTTGCTATAATAGCGCAAAAATAGATAACGTAAAATGAAAATATGGAAAGTTCATTCAAATTACTTCATACTGAGCCAAGTTATCACTGTTTGTAGTTTTGACAAGACGTGTGCTTTGTGGTAGCCAGGGCACTGGTATATTCGAGACTTATCCTCGCTTTCCCATTTTTAAATTAAATTTTTAAATTGCGAACCGTTCTAATCTAGTTAAAATCTCAAGTATCCGATGCCATCGAGTGTTGATTATGGTCTTGTTTTGTCAATAAATGTCAAATCAATAGTTTACATAACATTTCAGGCCCAAAGAAAGACATGTAATAGGCAGATTTAGCTCTTGGATAATGTATGTTTAATGATTAAAATATGGATTATTTATGTGGTATTACTTAATGACTAAAATTTAGTGTTGAAATTAAAATATGAATCATTAATGTGGTATTACTTGTATTTTCACAAATAAAACGCCCTTACAATTTGCGTAATGATTTATAACAAAACTTAATTGATATCGCAATGTTAAAACTTACCATATCCAACCCAGTATCTTGAAGAGATAATGAATAACCACTCTTCATGTTGGCAGCTGAGATTGCTCCAAATTTATATCCAGATATATCAGAATAGGTCGTGTACAGATCTCCATCAGGACCAAAATTATTTCCAAACGCCATCTATAAATAAGCTATACGCATTAATATTTCAATCTATAAATATTACTGGGAGGTTTTGTTGAGATCTTTTTGTTGCGGTACTAACCCACTTTGAATATATGATGGCAGCTACTTCGAATAAAGTGTATATAATATTATAGTGGTTAGTGGAAATGCGAATATTTATTTAATCATTGTTAGAAGTGCCAACACCGAACTACTCTTTAGGTCTGCTATACAGAAATTCTAAGGCACTATTTGGAATCCTGTCATTTATTTCGGGGACAAATAAAACAAACTGAATATATATTTTAAAAATATAACTTTTTAGGTTACCTGTTGAATTTGTTTATTGATGGCTGTAAAAGGAACGGCTGGTTTTAAAATCAATCCTTCTGCATTACAGCACCTGAAAGAGAACATACTGCTGAAATACCACTACACCCATTTTAATTTCCGGATACATGCATTTCAGTTGCTGTCTCCACAATGCACCGCTTAGTCCGTCAATTTAAGCGCCGATCACACTAACCTCTTGGTTGGGTCCATCGAAATAAATTAGAAAGAAACGAGCATGTCCAAAACGTAATTTAATTCGATGTTTTGGGATTAAATCTAATGGAAATAAGGCATTACCTTAGAAGAAGCGTGACGTTAGTTGTACCAATCTTATCACTTGGTCCAACTGGTCCAGTGCTCATTGTTGCTATCATTGATTGTAATGCTGTGTTTGGTTCGCTACCATCTGTAACAAAAAAATAAAATTGCTATTGTAACGAAAACTAAAGAAGGTAGCGTCCAAAAGTTAATAACAATGGGATAACATAATAACTAAAGATGTTACTTACCGCGAATCTGCAAAATGACTCCATTATATTCATATAGTTCAGTGACAAGGCGAATTGTAAGTTTATTCTTGACAAACCGGGGGGGGGGGGGTAACGGCACCTTTTCAATATAGAGGAGTTTACTCATGTAATCCTTCCCCAATCAAAACATATATTTCACTTACTATATGGATTACCAGACTGTTCAGTTGTTGTCCAGAAGTTGTCTTTATAAGGAGCCAATCCCATGGCTTCAGCAAAAATAGACGAATAGCCAATCCTCCAGTGATCAGACCCTGGAACATTATCTTCCATTACACGAGCCTGATAAAAGAAAAGGCCGACAGAGAATACTTTGGCTTTCAGCCGTTATGAGTGATTGTTTTTCTCAATAGTATAACCCCCTTTCTGATTCATTCTAATAATTCATAGTTGAGATATTCGAATTTGCTTCTGTAGAACTGTTTTTCAGACAGCTTAAGGATCTAACCTTCAAAGATAACGCGGACGTCAACATGTTTACTAATTTTAGTTTAGTTCTTAGCTTAAACATATCGACATTTGAACAAAAAAAACCCCAGTTAAATCTCAACGTTTGCTTAATTTGTGGAGTTTTATTGATCTGTTTCCATATACATTATCAACGTATTTTATCTCATGTGTTATTTTGATTAGTAATGAGGCAGCAACTATCCGATTACACTATCGCTTCCAAAGATAAAGCCCAAGTAATTTTGTTGACTAATCTTAGTTCTTAGCTTAACCATATCGACATAAAATCAATTATATATCAACGTTATCTTTATCTGTGCACCAAACATTTTAAATGTAGATCAATACCACTTTGCAAAACAAATCGACTGTATATAATTATATACCCAAATAAAACATGATTATTCCTGTGATTCACAGTTTACTTACCGTTTTGTAAATGGAGATAACCAAACTACTTTGTACATACAACAACCTAGTTTGGGTTTCTATAGCTTACCTGTGTAACAACGGGTATTTCTAGAGATTGCATAACATGTCGAGGATATTCCATACAATATTGAAGAGTTAAACCATTCTTCTTAGCAGCATTACCCATTTCCATCATCCATGTTTTGGCAGAAATAACATCAGATACCGTTTCGTTGATCGAATCGGTGTTCATGTACATAAAGTCCTACAACACATAAAGAAATACATAATGTATGAAGACTGTTGATGGGTAAATAAAGTACCATTTAAGTGTACACGGCTTGTTTTGAATTAAAAGTAGTTGAACCTCTTTGATTTAGTTCTAAGCAAAGTATTGAATTGGGGCGGACTGGTGTTTTATTTCAGTCTTAAATGCAGATCTATATCCACTTTGCAAAAAAAAAAAAAAAAAAAAAAAATCAAAAAACAGAAAAAAAGAAAAGAAATCAACACCCCAAATCTTAGAGATGGATCAAACTGTATATTTATTTACTAATTGCGGCGAGGACACATAAAAACACAAACCATTATCTCAACGTTGGTTCTATCTATGCCAATTAGATTAAACTACAAATGTATATTTCGTTTCGTTTTGTTATACTATCGATGTCCTCTACTACATGAAGATCTGACCAGTTGTAGTGGGGGTCGCGTCAGACATTTGCTTAACCAGCGTTGATGCTTCTGGTAGGATACCCACAGTTTCCCGCAGCGCACGCCAAGAACTCGCTGCAACAGATCGTTTCATTGGCTAATCCCTCACATCAAACGCAGATTATATAGCAACTCTTCCAGATCCTAGTGATAGTAAAGACATGTAAAGCGAAATTTTGAACTATAAAAAAAAAGAAACGAAATAGGATCTGTGTTTTAATCAGATTGTATCTATGCACGTCAAATGGTCAATGAACACAAGTCAAACCACAAGGTTCGATACAAAATTGAACCTTTTTATTTTTGACACGAAAGCAATAGGTGCTATGTTCACTATTTAAAAAAAACATTTTATTAATTTTTAGGGATCAGAGTAAGGTTATTCTCGTCGTTATCTTACATCCAGTTTAATAAGGTTTTTATTAAGTCAATTTCCTTATAAGCTAGATTCGAAAATGGTCAAATTTAGAATACAGAATATGAAACAAAATACATGGAGAAATGAATCAAAATAACATACAACATGGTTCTTAGAGGAATACAGAAAAACATCAAATTGAATTACCTGCTCATAGACAATCAATCCCCAGGTCCTACTGTATTTAAATAAATCATCCCAGAATCTCTTTAAATATAAAAAATATATAACACCTATCTTTAAAATAAATATATAACACTTATCTTTAATATATACAAAAGTTATAAAAATATTTACAGCTTAACCAATCGTGCTGTACTAACACCCTATTTGTTAAGATGTTGACTTGATACTAGGGGCTTGGTTTAACGCGCACACTTTAGATCATAAGGTATGTAATTGAGTCAAGTGGCGTGATTTTGATTCCCCGTTTGTCCGTAACAAGACGAGTAGGATCGCCTGTCCATCCTCGTGAGTTTTCTGCGGGTCCACCGACTTCCTCCTACTGCTTAAATCCCCCAACGCACAGGCGAATTATTGAAATAAAATTGAACTATCAGTCCCGAAATGACATAGTTTGTGTCGAGTGGACGTTAAACCTTATTTCTCTCTATAAATATTATGTAGTTTAACGTATTCTTCTGAGAACACAAACAACAAGTGGTATTTGTTTTACAAACTATACTCACTTCTTCAAATGGTAGAGCATTTCCATCATAATCTAGTAAGAAGTTATAATTGCCACCATTTTGTCGAGCATACGTGGTTTGGTTAGACCTTCAACACATAATACAAGAGTTATTTCTAAACGGATACAGGGGTAAACCTCAGTTATTTTTAGGCCGTTCTTTGATAGAATAAAGTACGATACAGTACTTTCTTTCCGTTTTCTGATAACTAATTAATTATAATACGTGAAAGTTTCAGGATATGCTGTTTAGGAAATGGAAGCGGACTCCAAATAAAAACAACTGGTTTTCGTTTGCCGGTACTTTCCTTCAAGGAATTAATTCTAACAGTTCACAATTTATTGTGGCCAAATAAAACCGCGGTCACATAATACGGTCACGCACGTAGTTAACCGTCGTGGTTGACCTTAAACGTAGTTAGACTATTTAACCACGGTTCAGCGTAGTTATAAACGTAGTTTGAACTTAAAAAAAACCCCATTATTTTAGCCCCACAATGCCAAGACCCTACTGTGGTCGTAAATTGAACGTAGTTGACCCTAGATGAGCATAATCGACCGTAGTTGACCGTATTAACATTGCACTATACGCTTAACGCTACGGTCAAGTAGGTCAACTAGGGTTAACTACTAGGATTGGAATACGTTTGAAGTACGTTCACAGTACTGCTAAGTACGATTAACTTCGGTCAGCTAAGGTGAAGTAGTGTCAAGGACTCTTTATATTTCCTCTTTTGCCATTTTTGAACCTACTTCGAACTTACTTCAACCTAGTTGACCGTAGTGGCACTACGGTGAACTACGTTCAAATGAACTACAGTAAACTACGTACGTGACCGTAAGATGTGACCGCGGCTTTCATAATGTGATGCAGAGTGTGATGTCATAATATTAAAGAAACAAATTATTGATAAAATACTAATAGATGGAGCATGCAGCAATACGAAAAGATAACATTACCAGTACATGTTGTGAGCTAATACTGGCCATTCGGTATTTTCGTATACTTTTCTGAAATATAAAATGGAATAACATTAGAGAGCATAACAGATTTTACGCTTTAAAAGATATATTTATGGACAATAGCATATCTACAGTACCGCATATCAATTAGCTTGCTGAACAATTTGAAACTTTTGCAAGCTCGATTATCAATGCCAGTGAAATTGCTTCTAAATTGAAGTTCATGCAAATTAAAGCGTTTGTATATATGGCGCGCCAATTTGAACATTGATAAAATTTAATGATTTTTATTCATGTTATTTGATAATGATTGTAAGGCTATGTAGCGCATTAAAACGTCCTATTTAATTTTAAGTACTATTTCAATAACCGCTGTATCAGTTTACCTCATTCCGGATGGGAAAACGGAAGGCATAGCGTCCCAATAAATAGTCCCGGAACCATTATACCATACTCCTTCCGCTCGTTTATAGAACCAGTCATCATACTGAATATATCTATATAAATATAAAATTAATATAACATTCTTTGAATATATTCCCATAGGAATAACAAAAGTCATCTTCTATTCTAAAACACAAACAAAACGGATGTGGGATTTATTTACGCAGTTAGTGGAGAAGGAAATGTTGAGCGAAGAGTGTATAGGTAAAAGCTCGATACATGTTCCGGGTGCACAAAATATGACTGTCGTCAACACAGGCAAGATGCTCACTGAAAAATAATATTATTGAAATTAGAAGAGCAAATGCAGCTGGCGTGGCATTGCTACCAAATTACCAATACAGAAAATTAGTTAAGATGGTTTGTTATCCCTACTTTCATGCGAATCTTACCTGTAAGGAATGCCCTGCTCTTTTGCCGTTTTTTGTATATCATAAATAGTCTGTTCATAGTCATCTCCGTCTTCGGTTTTATGGTAATAGTAAGCACCTGTTCATATATATTAATATTTATGTAACATACTTCTATCAGGTCAAAATAGACAATGCAGCACTAATTTCCCAACAAAGACACAACAAAAACAATCAGAAATTTCCTAGTTAGTGGCAAAGCCCTTTACAACGAAAGTATATAAATATTTTGTTTCACTCAGTAAGAGAAAAGATACATATAGCATTGTTTGCTACGTGAACAAGCCATGTCCCATAATAAGCACAGTGCCATGTAGTATTTGGTTATAGCTCGGCGACGCCTTCTTGTAGGAGCTGTGTGAAACCGGAAGTAGTATAACCCCAAGACCGATTGTGGTAGTGCAATGCCATGGTCCCTGTGTTACTTCTAGTGTAACCCACAATCCGAACAGACAAACAAACATACTTTCTATCAGGAGTTACTTCCAAAATCATATTGCCACCCACATCCCTATGATATTTGATAAGCTTGTTTTCCTACCATTATCAGTCCAAAATCCAAGATAGTTAATCGTCATATCAGATTTTCTATAGGATGAATCTTTACCATAAAAATCTCTCATTAAACTTCCCCATTCTTGAAAAGCCTAGATAAAATAATTATGTATACAAACAATTAAACTCTCTATCGGCGGCTTTCTATATTTGGTTATCGTCCAAAGAAAGCCATGCATGTTAATGTTAATGCAGCATCCAAATCAAAGTACAAAGTATTTTAGTGAAGACTTTCAAAAAAGAAAACTATTCATATTTGTCCTAGCAGCGTAATAGGAGAAACATAAACTATCCGAGGGACTATATCACATTTGTCTTGTCAGTCCCAAAGACACTACCTTTGAAGAGACTTGAATGAGTACCTTGGGCACTTAAATATCGCGGCTCCCAAGCAAAGTATGGTATTGCAAATAAAAAAAATATCACTTTAAACTACAGTTGCAAAATTACCTTATTGATGCCGTTAGGACTATAGAATATCATAAACTGAGCCATGAAATCTTCTGGAACTTCCATCACGCCGCCCATAATTCCCCAATCAAGCGTTTCGGGATTCGTTGAATTGTCCATCATCGTCGATGCGGACATGAATTCGCTAAATGGAGCTATGATCACCACATTATCTTTCTTGTCAAAGAATGCAATCGGTCCACTAGCAGTGCCAGTTATGATTTCAACATTCCCTGGTGACCATCTGAAATATGTTATAGAAGATCACAATGATTCATTATGCATGGTGAATATTTAGTCTAATTTATTCCTGTTTCGATAAATTGACACTTTTCAATTAAAGTTTCTTTTCTGCACCTCTACCCATAGTCATTTTGTCGTTATTATCACTAAATATTGTCATTTCAAAAATGCATTCAAAAAACTTACGTTCCAAACTTTAAATCGTCATTTCCAAACATGATTCCGGCGTAAGCCATGTATCCTATTTCACCTTGCATGGAGTCATCAACAACAAATCCTGGAAATGCTGAGATAAGCATATCTTTGTTTCCGGTAGAAGTTCCTGAAGTTTTATTGAGGTAGTGCTAAAACATAAATGGTAAACGATATGAAAGCCTGGTGGGCACACCACAAAAAAATTCTGAAAAGGCTGTGATAAACCAGCCGGCTAAAACATAATTTTCACCTGGCATTGTAGAATTATTTCATGACCAATTACAACCTGCGAGACTAACAAGGACTGCGCTTCTATTCTTTCAGATGGGGCGCAAAACCGAGGTCTGGTGCACACACTAATAATATAACGGCTGACTTTAAACCAGAGAAGAGTAGCACATTCACACAACCCTGATACATAAAAATAACCGTGTGTTTGTCTAAAACAAACCAGTGTTGACCAAAGGCTTCTTGCTTTGCATCTTTTTTCTCGCGGAGTCGTAAACCTCTGTGGAGTTCTTGACTTCACATTTGGGATTGTGCTATTCTTTTATAGGTTATTGTTGCGCACGTTAATATATATAAATACCTGTTGTAGTATTAAGTAGTTCTTTTGGTCGTAAACCTTGAATCCAAGAGCTACTACATTATCATCTACTCCTAAATACCATGTAGCTGTTTCAAAATCTCCCAATCTATCAGTACCTTGATGAGGTGTATCTAACAACCCTTTTAGCTCTCCTCTGGCTGAAGAATATTCCTTCCAATCTTTTCTGAATCTTAGGGGTGAATTTTTAAACCAGATGACATCGTTGACAGTCATGTTATAAATTTGATCATCAAACCAATGATTGATCCTCACAGGGCCAGGTGTAACTCCATGACTCACCTCGGCTGCATGAATACAAGGAATATAAAAAGCAAAGGCATGTCAGCTAATATGTTTGCTATGTCACGGCAATAATTATGGTTTAAAAAGTTTTTAAGCTTGTCCTTCGATAAAAATACATTTCATGTATAACACGAAAATAAAAGAAAAATTAATATATTTACCAAGTAAAGCTAAGATGAAAAAAAATATCACTCCATTGGTCATCTTGTATCTTCTTAATATCAACAAATTGTTCATATCTGGTTAAAATAGGGCAACGGAAGATGGCGCATGTAACTTATCGATACACATAGTCTGATCGATAAGCAATAACTAGTACATCCATCAATACGTTCAAGGGCAATTCAAAATGTAATAAGACAATAAAAGTGACCCTGATCGCTACGTTTGTCATGCATGCCGGTATGGAGTGGAATGGGCGACATAATTCTAACTCTGATATTGGTAATGCGTATATTATTAAATTAAATGCGTGTAACTTCTTACTACGCATTACCAGTTTCAGAGTTATATTTATGTCGCACATTCCGCTTCATATGCTCGGCCCAGATTTAATTGCTTGATCATCATTTAACACAAACGGTCGCCTAAAGGGAGCGGAAATAATATATCTTAGATAAACATGACGATTCATTTATTGATATGATTATTATATGTATGTATATTTATCAGCACTTTCGTGGAATTATATAAGGCGAAGAAAGATGTCTGCATGGGTCAACTAGATTATTTAACGTTCGTTTCCTCAAGTTATATCGCTGAGACAGAATCTATGACAGTAAAATGAAACTACGATAGTCAAGTAGCCATGAAAAGGCTGTCGATAGCATTTTTAAATAATTCATATTAAACACGAAAGGGTCGAGGCGACAAAGTACAAGACGATAAGGACAAGCAATAAAAAAAGTCAAACTTGTATGTTTCTGCTAATATTTAGTAAGAGTCTAAGCACGTATGTGTGTGTGTGTGTGTGGTGGGGGTGGGGGTGGGTGGTATGTGTGTGTGTGTGTGGGGGGGGGGGGGTAGTTGAATTGAGGAAGGGTTAGCACGTGCGCGTTGTATCATAAGTTCTGTCAATGAGTCAACTGGCGTGGTTTCAATTCCGCGGTTGTACGTGGCAACAAGGAGTATGATCGCCTGTCCAACCTCGTGGGTTTTCTCCGGGTCCCCCGGTTTCCCCCCACTGCTAAAGACCCCTACGCGCAGGCGAATTATTGAAATAGAATTTCTCTCTTTGTCTCTCCCAAACAGTTATGTCCTAACACGAGATGTGAAAGTCGAAATTCCATTTTATAAATGCAGTTGTACAAAAAGATCTGTCTTCGGTCTAAATGTACTGTCAGAGATTTACTTTTCATCAACCCTTTGAGGGCTGACATTAGTCTGATTGTAATGCCTCCCAGACAAAGCTATAAAGATTCACATTGAATGACCTTTCAGAAGCTATATCTGACCTACAAAAACATAAATATATTATCTATGGTTGGTGAGAACTGGCAATATGTGCAGAATTAAATGCACCCATTGTTCTAACGATTCCTGAAGAATATAACCATATTATAAACCATTACAATCAGTCACAGTCTGCAACATGAAGGTTCTACATCCAGTTCTTATCGTTCTGGCTGCGCTGGGTAATTTCTTTAATGTCTTGTTGTAATTGTTGCAAATTAACATGGTTAAGACAGCAGTTAATTGGTTAAATAATAGAACAGTTATATTTGTTGAAAGAATTAACGCACTTGTTGCTGCTTTCTATGATGGATTGTTTGTCGTGTTGTATCGCATGTTTCCACTGATTTCCTTTGTCAGTGGGGGGATCACGGTGGCTTAGTGTGTAAAACGCTGGCTCGCTAGCCTGGAGGTCGGGTGTTTATCCAGACTTTCCGGCGTGGTTTCCCCTTGTCAGTGATACAGGACGGAGGGCCTGACAAGGACAGCTGTCTAGTCGTTCGGATGGGACGAAATACCGAGGTACCGTGTATACATTGGCGTGCCCGTAAAAGATCCCTTGACAGTTGGAATTCGATATAATTCGAGGCAAAATTTCCCTCATAGCACACTGTATGGCCTATGCCCGTCTTTATTAGCCTAGTTCGGAGCAGAACAGCGGGACGTTAAACCCCATTTCATCCAACTTATTCAATCGGTTTCTTCACACAGCTAAGCCCCATCTTTCTCGTTACACATTGTCTAAATGAAAGACACCTTTACTTATTTCCAGTTGTTGTGAATGTGTGACCCCTGGTCAAGTTCAAGTAAATCATTGGTTTGATGACCAGATTTATAACATATCAGTTAACGGTGCCATTTGGTTTAAAAATGCACCCCTCGTGTTTAGAAAAGATTGGAAGGAATATTCATCAGCCAGAGGAGAATTGAGAGGCCTGTTAGATACTCCTCATCAAGGTACTGATAGATTGGGAGATTTTGAAACAGCTACATGGTATTTAGGAGTAGATGATAATGTGGTAGCTCTTGGATATAAAGTTTATGATAAAAAGAACTTTGTCATCCTGCAACAGGTAAGATAATACACAGTGTAATTAATGCCAAGAATTTATACAACACGTGTATACAAAACATGAAACATTATAAATCAACATCCCACTCATATATATTGATGATAAATTAGTATTTATACTTCATATATCCCACTGAGTTACAGGTAAGAATAGCGACAATTAATTACACACCCAGCTCAAAATTTATCTAGACCGAAACTCTAGTAAGCCATGGTTTGATGTCTCAATGCTGATCACTGTTTCTGCTGTGAGATGATATACTCTTAAAAAAAGTAGGGGATATTGAAGTGCAAATACCTATGCAGCTTGTGATATGATAAATAGTCATGGACACTTGACATGCTTTTAGAGTATGTTTACAGATGAAGAACCACTGAGCTGCATGTGCGACACGCAATAGCGCCATACACGTGGTTCGTTGTCAAATTTGACACTTCAAGGAAGAGTTGACGAAAACTGCTACTTGCTGGTTTATCCTATCCATGTTTGCTTTCCTATCGGTTCTTGCATAAGATTTACTGTTTAGCGTATCTTTGCTTTAGTGTGTTACGTTTAATTTGATCGGGAGACGTGTTCGTCGACGTCAACGTCAACCGACAACACTGTAAGAATTGGCCGTGCACTGCAAGAGGAGTGGGTCAGATTGCCCCAAATCGTGATTGAACGGTTGATTAGGAGCATGTCACGACGAATTGCTGAATGTCTGAGGATTGGTGGAGCAATTACTTATTATTAAGACAAAAATTAAAAACGTCCATTTTCACTTTTGACAGTGTATCTCTTTGCGAGTGAAATGGGGCTGTCAGATAAGCCGCTCATATGAACTGTTTATGTTCATGTGTAGGCAATTGGCCTGTTATTAACATACACTGGTTACCTCTAATAAAAACAGCAATGCATTTCCGCAGTTTTGTATTGTTTCTGAATATCCCCTACTTTTTTGAAGATTATAGTAAGTCATGGTTTAATGTCTCAAAGCAGCTCACTGTTTTTGCTTTAAAGGGGAATTATGGGAGATTAGATCAAGAGCTAACAGTTCTAGCCTCGATCATCATTACTAAAGTCGGTACGATAAAAACAAAGTCTCGATTATCCATTGTGGCGTTAAATCATCCATCACAAAATGTATTAAAATCCAGTAAACATCGCAGGATAGCGATGGCATCCAGAGTTGATTATGGTCTGGACAAGTTAATTAATGTCTAATTGATAATTTAAATAGCATTTCAGGCCTAAAGAAAGGCCTGCAATTAGGCAGATTTAGCTCTTTCATAATGTATGTTATGAGAACGCAAGTTATTTTGACATTTTACCTTGTTAGAGTACATATACTATTACACAATTTGTCTTTCTGTATTTAACGAATTTAATTACTCTTCAGGTACTATTTCGTAGCATGTGGTACTAGTCCTGTAACCATGCAAATTTCTGTTGTAAAGAAAATAGCGAAACGTAAACACATTTCAATTTATGTATGTACGAATTTACATACTATATGGAAGGAAAGCAATGGTAGAATAATTATTAATACATAAAGATAAATAATATTTGAAAAACCAAAATCTGAAATAGCAGCTCGATTTTGGCGACGCCTGTCATTAGACTTTTTTATTGACACATCCATATCTCGTTACAGCATTATTTGAATAAAACATCCGGGACTTCAACTGGCAACAAAGATCTTCTTATATCCGCATTCCCTGCTGTAATGATTGATGATACTATGGCAGGAGAGTTGGGATACATAGCTTACTCAGGTACTCAGTTTGGTAGTACTAGAATGCAGTTAGGCACGTAAGTATATTTCGCCCAATCCATTCCTTTTACTGTTATTCCTAGTCTGTATACTATTTGCCGCGAATAGCTGTGTCATCGGTTTCTGATAAATTTACCCGACACCATACAATGACATTCTGAACTAACAGTCCTACTATCTGCGGAGAGAGTATATACATCTGGCTATTATTAGTTTTCGAGTGATAGTTTGGTATGTATACAATGATTGAAAGTTTAATGTTTTCAACCATACCGTTCTATGACTAGTATATTGGAAGTTGTGTCAAAAATAAATTCCGTACAGAACACGTTGATTAGTAGTTACGCCACCAGAAGATCCTACCGTATTTTTACAGAGCAAAACTTTGATTGTAATTCACAACGTATTGTATTATGTTTAAATATGTAACTGCTTTGAAGTACATATGTCAGCGATACGAGTAAATCTTGTAAAATAAGATTTTAACTGACGTAGATTAATTGGAAAAACGCATAAATTATTAATCAACATTTAAAACAAAATCCCTGTAAGGAAAACGGTTATAAAGTACAGATAATTCAAAAACACCATGTTTGCGACCAACCTCTTAATTGCAAGAACCCTGCACACTGCAATACCTTGGTTGCGGTCATATTCTTAATTGCAAGAATCATGTACACTGCAATAGAAAAGAGATCTCAATCAAAGAAAAATGTATAACTATTTTACCGACCTTTTTTTCCATATGAACTTAATGGTGGATTGCAAAAGGTATAAAACTACAAAATATGGTGGGAACGATTTTGTTGACGAGAAACTGTAATACGAAACTTGACCATTTCTTTATAAATACATCTAGTGCTATATAAAAAAGTCGTAATTTGTAGAAATGCGTTTTTTGTTTAAAAATAGAAGAAATATTAATATATCTTTGAAATTATTTGTATTCTGTACGCCAACACACGTTAGCTAAATTTCGTTCACACACAGGCGGGTGTAAATGGAAAATCTTTCAAAAATAACATTATTAATTATAAGCTGAGGCTACGTGTTATGTCAAAGTCTGTTATATTCATATTATATTAATTTTTTTGAATACTATTTTTGTTTTGTAATTTGTATGCTGGCCTTTATGGGCATATTGGTAAAATAAACAAATTCAGTGTCAGGTAACTCGTCAGAAATCCCTTCTCACTCGTCCAACTCTGGTAAAGGGAAGAGATAAATATTCTATTTCATGCTTGTTTTTTACTTAATTTTTCGTGTTTTCCCATTGTGGGTCGAATCTGTTGTTTGGGGTTAGTTTCCATTCTGAGTCCTCTAGTATCACTGTTGACCAGGGACAGAAGAGCAGAGTCGTCTCATACATTCGGCCTCTGGATCTATTTCCTTGATTTGATAGTACTTTCTTCATGCATTACTTACAATGGCTGTGTTTGACGTGTCTATCTCAAGGCTTCGTCTTCTGAGTTTCCCTAGCTCTTTGTTTTAGTTTAGTAATTCAAAAATCACAATTATACGAAACGATCCATTATTTCTAGCTGGGCTCCCGGAAAGGTAAATATGAACACCGGAACTGCAGGTGGACCCGTCATCTTCTTTGATAAGAAGGACAATGTTGTTATCATAGCACCGTTTAGTGAATTCATGTCAGCATCAACCTATCTGGATACAACTCAACAACCTAACAGATTAAGCTGGGGTATTATGGGAGGGGTCATGGAAATCCCACAAGATTTTATGGCTCAGTTTATGGTGTTTTATAGTCCCAATGGAATCAACAAGGTAAACCTACCGTTAATAATATATCAGACATGTATTATTAACAAAACAATTTTGTTTAGTTTCGTTTCGAAAACGGAGGAGGCTATTAAGTTGCATTTGACATCAGCCTTTGATTTGAACCAAGTGTAGGGGAGACGGACTATTTAATTTTGCCCCCCCCCCACTCCCTTAGCCACTATCTTTGTTATATAATAATAATTGTATTGCTTGTGAATAGATTTTCATTAAATCTGGACTTGCTGAAATTCTAACCAACCACACATTTGTCCATTTTAATCTGGTTGCCGATTCTTTGAAACGAAATAGCTTAAATTATGTCTAATGAATATATACCAAATTTAATAACTTCGTGTATTTTAGTCTCGGTCACCCAGAACCTCCTAGTATTCAACGTACGGAGGGTCTGGGAAAGTTGTCAATGTTTGACGAAAAGTTTCATTGCCCATGCGTAACCGGGAGTTCGGCTTCTCATGTGATTGATTATCCAGTATTTTTGGCCAAGTCAAGTAAGAGTTAATTGCGTCTCTTCCCGCAATAAATCCAATAATTTTTGCATTATTATAAACAAACAGGAATCGTGACGACGAATTAGGATTAATTTAAAAACATAGAGATATGGCCCATGGAGAGAGAAATTTTACAATACAAAAATTAAGGGTGTTGGATATTGAACTGGCAATGCAATCAAATGGATTTTCTGAAATGGCATGCTTGAATTAATTTCATTGACGTCGACACCTTGTTTTAGGACTAGTTACCCCCCTTAGACTTTGGTTATTTTAATGTAAATAGAACGGATAATCTAGCCAATGACCTATTATTCTCAAATGTTGACAACCCATCCAGACTATAATATTCGTAGAATATTTTTCTGGGTGATAGAGACTACATGTATACCTGAACAGGCATAAACTAACTCTGACTATATCTTCATAATAACAGTACCTAGGCCAAATTCAAACATCAACGTGATCTACACACAGTTCACTATTTACTGTAAATGTGGATCAAATTCGATGTGAACACATTCATATTCAGTGAAAGCTCAGTTCAATGTCATGTTATATATTTATCAATATGGAATTTATGATGTTGTATAGTTGCGGTCGTTCACACCAAGAAGGTAGTATGATGGCTGAGGTGCTTAAAATATTAACTACCGAGTAGTGAGTGCATTATCATTTATTAAGACCTTTTCCCCATTATTATCCATTCTCAAAGACCTTTCTGATTCAGGCTTTTCAAGAATGGGGAAGTCTAATGAGAGATTTTTATGGTAAAGACCCATCCTACAGAAAAGCTGATATGACGATTAACTATCTGGGATACTGGACTGATAATGGTAAAATCTTAATTTAATGTGTCCCTTTTGTACCGACCGATTTTACTTTAATACTTTATCGATGAATTTAATGTATATGTAGGGTTTCGACTGTATATATTCACATATTGAAACCGAAGCTGGCCAGTAAAAATAATCAAATTGAGGCAAGCCTCTTAATTAATTGTATTCTACCACATAGTTTGGTTCTTTATTTCCCCTTGAATAATGTAACTTTCACGAAATTTAGATGATTTACGAATGTTCCTAATTTCACTCTAGGCGCTACTTATTTTTGGAACACAGAGCCACACAAGTCTTATGAACAAACCATTTATGATGTACACAGCTACTCCAAAAATGCAAGTATACCATACAAGTAGGTTTAAATAAAATCACAAAATTATAAACAGAAACAATAAAAATAGTATTTTTAGCCCAAGGTCTGTGTTTCACTTATGTTGACCGTCCCTCCAATTCATCATTTTTGACATGACCAAAACCAGCTAAATCTATTTCATGGAATGTTGCCAATTTGGTGATAATTCAGATTTGTTTAACTGAAGTTGCATCAAGGTTAATATTTACAGAAAGTTCATAATTATTCATTCCTTAGAGGTCCATTATGCATATTCAATTGCATACTTTGTGAATTTTGTTCGATTTTATTGGTTGCTCGAAAAAGAAAATAAATTTAGTGTCGTTATTTTATAGATACGTTCAATTTGATGACTGGTGGTATGTAAAGTTAAAATCCGGAACGGTCAGCTGGACGCCTCGAACAGGTATCTTCCCGTCTGGAATGAGGTAACACGTACTCTACCTTTTAATTTTTAACAAGTTAACTTCAGGAAGCAATATTTGCAACTTATGTTTAAAGCTAATTTACGGTTAATCTTAAAGTACATGCAGATGTCATGCCATACAGCGAAGCAAAATATTTTGTCGAAGGCTGTGATCTATATATTGAGTAACGAGTTGATATCGATGCCATATATATTAAATGATCGACTATGAAATATACAATAAATGATATTATTTATAGGAAGATGTATGAGAATACTATGTGGCCTGTTGTAGGTCACAATATGTTTTGGTAAGAGTTTACATCTACTACTTGTCTTAGCTATTATAGTCATTTCCGTTCGTGCAAATGATGTTCGTTTTGTTCCAGCTTTACTTTGTTGGAACATGTATTGGTATTTTCGTATAGGCTGCATTGCCAATGTGACAGATATGTAATACAACCTACGCGGGTTTAATGCTAAATTAGAGAATGTAGGTTTCTACAATGCATCTGAAAGTGTAATAAAACTCATGTCTGCATACTGATTGAAATAGTTAACGAAGAATCTGAAAGCGTAATAAAGCTCATGTCTGCATCCTTATTGTAATAGTTAACGAAGAATCTGAAAGCGTAATAAAGGTCATGTCTGCATCCTTATTGTAATAGTTAACGAAGAATCTGAAAGTGTAATAAAGCTCATATCTGCATCCTTATTGAAATAGTTAACGAAAAATGTTTTATGAAATATTGCAACACGCAGGTCTAATCAAACAACGTACGCTAAGGAAAATGGAGGCCAGTACAAATTTCTGCTTGATAAAGATGGCCATGCTTTACCATTTGAAGAGGTGAGTTATATGTCACTGTAAGATTACTATTCTTTGTGAAAACGGTGATCGATGGTCAAAATCTTTTTACTTTATCAGTTCAATGAGTTAAATTTAATACAAGACCAAAGCCCCTTAATTTGTCGATTCTTACTTTTCTGCATGATATTATCATTATCTCTCTAATGATCTAACTTTAGCAATTTGAATTATGGTTGAAATTAGTTAAATTAAATATACGTGTACTATCAAAGACACCTGATTCTTCGAGTCTTCCTTTTCTGAATTAAATTATCATTATCTCTCCAATGAACCAGGTAATATAAGAAAATAAACGCATACGTCAAAATGTCGTATACATGTATATTTATTGCAATGTAGTTGAGATTTTTACAAAACTTCACTGAATAAGGGATGGGACTTTGGTTAGTACTAACGGCATGTCCTAAAAAGCAAAACCGATTTATATATAGTTAATGAAAAGCTGCGTCGGATTCGGGTGTATACGGGTCCTGCATTATGACCCAGTGAATAAACATTTCAAAGACATCTTTTATTATCTCTCGTCGAATTCATGTAAACTCGGGAACGAAAGCTCAGATAGATTTGGAATTGGGAATACTTTGGTTTTCAGTTAGGAAGTTCCCTTAATGAAGTTCCGGGGTCACCATAATGCGTCCTTTCGAAAGCATTTTACACATAGCAGCAATACCACAAGATCTTGTTAATGGACTTACAGGAACATTAGATGTAGAACACAATATCATGTGTTGTACTTATTTCTTGGACGTATTCGTGTTAACTTGTTACTGATAAATCACCACATCGCGCGAATAGAAAACTTAATAGAACTTAAAATATCAACTAACTGAACTACATAAAAACTGTGTATACCTCCTCTGGTTTATAATTTGACTTAAAGTTGCACTTTCATATTTTTACGTTATATTTTTAAATTTATTAAAAGAAAGCCTTAAAAAAGATGGTATCTATAAGCAGTCCTACCTTGTTAAAGAATAATCCTATTAATCCTATAATTCACTATTGCCAGTTGAGAAATTGGCAAAAATATCATTTTCCTCTTCAAATTCAAACGTTTGAGGATAGCTACTCCATGGTGGAGAATAGAAAACAAGGGATGTAATGGGGAGGTAATTGTGCTAATCTAACCGGTGTAAATGAGTTTTAAGTGTGAGAATGACACCTATGATCGTATAATAGTGAGTTGACAACCTATTGAGCAAAAGACATAGAAAAAATTAAATTATGTTTTGTCTTTCTTAGAAAATATGAAATTGTAACTTTAATCTTTCGTCTTCCTTTGTTTAAATATTTGATATTGCCAATTATGTATTGTTTTATACTTTTAGCGATTCTGGAATGATTTGTTTAAAGAAAGTAAATTATGGGGTCTCACGGTTTATGAACAGGTAGGATAAAGGACGCAATGTAAATTACATGCAGATAATCCAATCGTATTACTTGATACTGTCCAAACCTGCACATATCCGCCACAAGTATTGTATTGCCCCCCCCCCCCCACCCCACCAATCCAATTATAAACACTAGCCCATGGGAGTATGTGAGATAAAACAAATGGATTCAAAAGTCAATGAATTATGTAATCGTCACTGGACATCATATCAAGTAATCTAGTTGTATCTATGAATGTCAATGATTATTTATCCGTATATTCCACAAATTGAGACTATTCCTTTGTGGACCCTAATATGCCTTGATATTCTGATAGAATCATTTACTGTATGTCAACGTTTGTGGGTGTTTGTGTGGAGCCTTTATCACAAGAGTTCCTTAGTTATTGAATATAAATGACAGAAATTAAACCTGTTATAATTCTCAAATTTGTATCCACAAAATAATTGATTCTTAAAACAAAAAACACCTCGCAGTTAAGCTTAACTGCTGCATGAAATACAGGATCTCAAATATCTGCAAGAGTAATAATCAAGAATTCGCCAGGCTTACTTACCGCTGACTAAGCACTTCTAGTTCTAGGTTCCCAATCCCCAATGGGCTTTTAGTGGTTGTCATTGAGTACTGAGACTAGAAGTTGTAGATGCAAGTATTGTAAGTTATCTTTCACGTTTCTGTCACGTATTAATGTTTCAACCCAAGTAATTTATATGTCAAGTGCAACATATTTGATTCATGTATTGTAGGATTTTATGAGTGTAAATACAGATACGATCAACGCGACTGTTTCCGATGTTTATTCTGGTAAAAGCTGGTTGATGGACATGGGAAATGCAGCCAGAATGAATGGTTTGACTATTCAATACTGCATGGGCTACCCGAGGCATGTTATGACAGCGCTCGAAATACCTGTTGTTACACAAGTAAAAACTATTTCCTCGATCTGTATAAACCCTATTATCATAGAGTAACCAATTAGGATGGGTTAAGTTTGAATATAATATTTCGTTAAACGGGTAAATATTCTTTTGACCCAGGCTAGAATGATGGAAACGAATTGCATTGTTGGGGTCAATTGTGGGTTTCATTTCGGTCATGTGTAAGCTGATAGTTATATGTTTACGAATTTTTGTAATTTCATTTAGCTTTCTTTATATTTTATTTGAACTAAGTTGCCAGACAACGATATATCATGTATATTTAGCAAATTAAACCATGCCAATAGAATTGTTAACATTTCAGGGTCGTGTCCTATTTGATAACCGCCCTAGTTCGGACCATTGGACAATAGGGGTATCGTCTTTATTTGCCGAAGCTATGGGTATAGCACCATATAAAGATGACTTTTGGTCCATGGAAGTTCAGCCGGGAAACGGATACAGTAAGTATTTACATACGAGTGGTAAAGCCATGTCATCGGTACCCCCCGTTCTGGTATGTTTTAGCGACACCCGTCGCTTTTTTATTATTTGAGCATGTGCGGCTGACTGAGGAATTACTTGCTACATTAGTAATAGTTAGAAGCGATACTCACTATCCTTGAAATCGTAAACAAATCCTAAATTTTGAGCAACACACGTCGCTGTTATTTTTATTATTTGAACATGTGCGACTGACTTGGAAAGCACTGGTATCTCAAGTAAGAATTTATAGGTACTGCTTAATTGATATATACTATTCAAAAAAAGTAGGGGATATTTGATTTTGGGGGCATAATACTAAAATATGCAAATGACTACGAAAAAAGTCACTATAGAACCTAACAGAAGAAACATTTCCAGTTACATGTGACGCCCAAACGCACCAATAGCTACCGCATGGAATGCAGGTGATGCTTGGGATCATCATGGGGGTCCAACCCAAGATTTGCACGATCCTGACTTTGAATGTTACAGTCATTGTGGCATTGAATTCCAGGGTGGAAACATCAGTTTAATTGTTTTAGTGACCAGAAAACAAATTTTGATATGCGTCGGCTTACCCAAAATGAAAGGTTACGTGCCCTTGGCATGCTACAGATCGGCACACCACAGGCGGTTGTGGCGCGGACGATGAATGTTTCTCAGTCTGTCATAAGCAGGCTATGGTCCAGATACCGTGATACACAATCTGTACAGGACAGACCACGCTCAGGTCGACCAAGGGCGACAACTCAAGCCCAGGATCGATTTATCCGTACCTTGGCCTTGAGAAATCGTGTCATCACAGCAAATCAGATCAGCGCTCGTCTTCAAACAGACACTGGTGTGAGAGTGAGTGGCCAGACGATTCGGAATCGACTGCATAGGGGTCACCTTCGCGCCCGACGTCCTCGCGTGATCCCTTGTTTGAGAGATCATCACATTCAGGCAAGACGTCGTTGGTGTAGGGATCGTCAACACTGGGATAATCGACGCTGGAGCAATGTGATGTTTTCAGATGAGTCAAGGTTCACTGTTGATTTTTTGGACAGACGTAGGAGGGTGTGGCGTCGTCGAAACGAGCGCTTCCAAGACGTTAACGTCATCAGACATGATCGATTTGGGGGTGGTTCTGTTATGGTGTGGGGAGGCATCACTGTTGCTGGAAGAACGGCTTTACATGTTGTTGCAGGGCGTGTTACAGGCCAGTACTACCGGGACAACATCTTGGCAGTCCATGTTGTGCCGTTCGCACGACGTCATGGCCGCCGTTTCATCTTCCAGGATGACAACGCAAGATGTCACAGGGCCAGGATCGTTACAGGTTACCTCCAACAACAGAACATCACCACATTACCTTGGCCAGCACTGAGTCCCGACCTCTCCCCCATCGAGCATGTCTGGGACATGCTTGGACAGAGGTTACGTCAACGTCAACAACGTCCTGCCAATGTCCAAGAACTTGCTGCTGCGTTGCAACAGGAATGGGACAATCTGGACCAAAATGACCTTAGACGTCTCATTAGGAGTATGCCACGTCGGATCAATGCTTGTTTGGCAAACAGAGGAGGAATTACCCGTTACTGACTTGGTTGTGATGCTGTGGTAACTTTGCTGTTTGACCCCGGGTATCATTTTACCCTTATAATGGTCAGTCTGTGCCTTACTTAGTCTAACGATCATTTGGAATAAATCGATGAATGTGAACTTCATTTCATTTTGTCATTTGTTTCTTCGTCAGTTTCATTAGGTGACTTTAATAACACTTAAAAATCAAATATCCCCTACTTTTTTTGAATAGTATATTATCTTTTAGAAAGTCCACTAACTTTTATCTTTCGTTCAATTTATCATTTTGGTACCTCATGATTATTTTTGATAAATCCAGGTGTATTAAAAAGATCTTCTAACTATTACTGTTTGTTTTCTACTGTATATATAGGTTATACAATCAACTTATCTGTGGTTAGCGATCGTCGCAAAATTTTAACATTTGCCTGCAAACGAATGCCCCACGAAACTGGGTGGGTGGGTTGAAAATGGTAACTGAAATGTTGGTTATTTAATATTGAATCATGAAAGGAAACATGCCAAAATTGTCTTTCTGCGTCGGCGCGGAAAGGCAGGGGTCAAGATCTAGCCGCGGGTTAGAAAGCAATTGTTAAAATTTTTGCCTACGATCTTTAGTTACTCGGGACTAATTTCGGGCGCAGCATTTTATCTACTAGTAAATGGGTTGATAAAGGGCTACATACCGAAACCGAAAATTTACTTTCAGACAGTATTACCAAATTTGTTGCTTATATAGGTATTCTTTTCTATGGATTGAAGTTGGGGGTATTTTCTGCTTTGTACTTCTTAAATATTTATTCCGGCGAAACCTTGGAATGTATATTATGTATCAGTCCAATTCTTGAACCATCCAAACTGTAAACATTTAAAATTTAAAAACTGGACTATAACATTCCGCATAATACTTTTCAGATCTAACAGAGCCACATACAGCCATTCATGGTGCAATTTCAACGTTGAGTACAGGGCCTGTTGGTCCCAGTGACCAAGTTGGAAATAGCAATGTTAGTCTCATTATGAGGCAAGTGTAATTACTGCATCTTGTTCCACTGATAGCTTAAAATCTTAGAAAACTATATGGTGACGGAACTAGTTGGACATACCATCAATGTACATATTTTTATATCTTTAGACTGGAATATGAGAACTTTGTGTTTATTATTTCAGAATAATTTCAATAAAATGTATTGCTATTTTCAGGTGTTGTAATACGGAAGGTTTAATTTTGAAGCCCAGTAAACCTATAACAGCCATTGATAAACAAATTCAACAGGTACGTAAAAAGAGCGGCACCACTCTTGGACAGTGGCACCACTGCCTACTCTTATTTCGAATTCCAACTGTCAAGCGTTCTTAACTGTCCTTGTCAGATCCCCCATGCTGCACTACTGACATGGGAAAACCACACTGGAAAACCCCGGAGAACTTTCTAGGCCAACACCGAGATCGAGCTCTGGAGCTCGCGAGTCAGTGCCTTACTCACTAAAACCCCTGTGCTAGAAGACAATAGACTGTACTTTATTAAGGGTTTCAACGTTGATTGACTCGCGATAGCTGATGTTTGAAAAACTGCGATACATATCAAGGTTTGAAATTCAATAAATGTTTGAATTTCGGTGTGTATTTCTTTTAGATGGCGTTTGGGGGTAATGTTGGACCAGAAGGTAAAGTCTATACAACATACAGTAATATTAACAACTATATATTTGGTGTTATATTAGCAGCTAATATTTCCATAGATTATACACTCATGGTTCAAGATACTGGAATTAATATGGTAATATTTTGATTTCTTATAAGAATTAGCGCTTGAAGGAAGAGTACGCGAAAATTGCCTCTCTCGTGAATCACACGTAACTATAGAAATGCAATTTACTGTACATGATCGAAGTATTATGTTAACAAAACGTTGTAGACGCCATGTTACAACACGGAACAATGTGAAAATATGCATCTTAAAATTTAATCTATTCTTTACATTTTTTTTTAGACACAAGGCAGCATGGTGATGAGTAGTGATTTATATATACATGTTAATCTGATAGATTTAAATGAAAGTCAACCATTAAAGATAACCACATCATGTACATCTAGAAATTTCTGTTTATATTATTATAGTCCAGTATTTCCAGTTGGGTAATTATATCATATTATTATAGTCCAGTATTTAATGTTGGGTAATTATATTATATTACAGTCCAGTATTTAATGTTGGGTAATTATATTATATTACAGTCCAGTATTTAATGTTGGGTAATTATATTATATTATTACAGTCCAGTATTATATTATAAATAGAAACATCAATGGGTGTATTTCTTACTGGTTCAGAGATGATTTTTGTTCAGATTCGGAATGATCAATTAGATCCAATAAATTATACAGATTGCTATTTATTGTTAATGAATGAATTTTCTAAAGTCGACTATGGTGTCAACAGGTTCTGTTGGTAAAGTAGGCTTTCTCATGTTCTGTTAAAGTTGCAATTTCATATTTTAAGTTATATTTTTTAAAATGTATTAAAATAAAGCCCGAAAATAAATGGTATCGATAAACAGCCCTACCTTATTAAAGAATAATCCTACTAATCCTATAATTCACTATTGCCAGTTGAGAAATAGGCAAAAATATCATTTTCAACTTCAAATTCAAACAAACGTTTGAAGATAGCTATTCGATGGGGGGGGGGGGGGGTTAGAAAAACAAGGGAGGTAATTGTGTTATTATTTCCGGGGTCAAAGGATTTTTAAGTGGGAGAATAATACCTATGATCGTATAATAGTGAGTTGACAACCTATTGAGCAAAAGACACTTTCTTAGAAAATATGAAATTATCGCTTTAATAGTCAACTACAGGAAATTATCTATCTAATATTTATTTTCAGATATGACCAAATTATAGCTTATATTGAAATGTACCAGTAATTTCTTTTCAGAAATGACAAGATTCGGATATATGGCGAAGTTGATAAATGGTCTCCAATGTCAAATAATCGTGTAAAAGGAATTCGAATTAGCCCTGTGGATCTCTACCTACAGCTTAGTGGTGCCCCGTATGAAATAGTTAGTTTCCGGTTCTTTAGAAATATGACTGAAGAAGTTGTTAATTGTAGCTTAGGAGCGGATGGTTCAGCTGAGATGAGCTTTAATAAAAAAATATGTACCAGTTAAAATTTATGTTACCATTTTCTTTCAAGGAAAAATTAAAACAAACTATTTGTTCATGATAACAGTAATCTACTTTTAAATTACTCTACTCAGTTGTCAATCTAGTAATGTTTAAACCTGGGTATGCTTAGATATCATTTCAAAATAAGTAACCATTGATTCCACTTAATAGAATCTACTAGTAGTGGGAATCAGATCAATTGGCGAGGAATGTGCACATAAAACAATAGCGCTAAAGGTATGTTCTAAATAGGGTTATTTGCCTATTCAGACCCAATCCAGGAAGACTCTTTAGGGCATGCTATTCTATCCGAACTGGCAAAACAATGGTTGTAACCCTGGCTAATAAACCAAGTAAAATGTATCCCTTTTTATGTATTTGGAGATAAGAGATTACCACCTAATATTTTATCGAATCATCTGATCTAGTTTAATAATTGATAGCGATGGAATACATCAAAATGACCTTGAACAATATGATAATAAAATAAACCATCTTATTACAAAGTTGTAACAACATGGCTGGTGTATTGTTAATTGCAACTGTCTTTGTTGTCTTTGGTAAGTTATTTCTTGTTGTTAAAAATGAGCGAAAACATAGAGATGAAAACAATGCTTTAATTTCCTATGCTCACTATGTTAAAAGAATAAACGACACATAGATTAACGAAATGCACACGAATGGAAAAATTATTACATTCGGCCAATCTTAACGGAAGTTAATGTCCATATTACCATCTCTTGATTACACAAAAATTAGAAGTCTGTACGATAACTTAATATTTCTTTCCTCCGGTACCATCACCGTTTTGGTTTGTTTTAAGCGCCCAACACCCATACTTGTCAGCTTGTTATTATTTTAGATCAAAACGGAAAAGTTGATTGCACCCTCCCTCGTAATACTCTTCAGTTACTGGCTTGTACATCGTGTCAAAAATGGTGTCCCGTAAGTTCCGACCTAAGCATATCCTGACATGGGAGTGCTATTTTAGAATAATGCCATATTAGTACCTATGTTGATTTCTCGCAGGGGGGTTGGATGGCTGAATGGTTAGCGTGCGCGCTCTGTATCATAAAGTATGTCATTGAGTCGACTGGCGTGGTTTCGAATCCCCGGTTGTACGTGGCAAGGAGTAGGGTCGCCTGTCCAACCTCGTGGGTTTTCTCCGGGTTCTCCGGTTTCCCCCCTCTGAGAAAGACTCCTATGCGCAAGCGAATTATTGAAATAAAATTAAACCATATGTTAGTCCCGAAATGACCTAGTTTGTGTCGAGTGGACGTTAAACCCCATTTTTCTCTCTCCGATTTCTTGCAAAAAAGAGAATCGGGGGGGGGGGATGTTTTAAGGAATGAAAATATTTAATGTTCACCGTTAAAAACTACAAACACGACGATTGTTTTACAATTTCCAGTTCATTGTTGTCAATGTGTGACCCCTGGTCAAGTTCAAGTAAATCACTGGTTTGATGACCAGATTTATAACATATCAGTTAACGGTGCCATTTGGTTCAAAAATGCACCTCTCGTATTTAGAAAAGATTGGAAGGAATATTCATCAGCAAGAGGAGAATTGAAAGGATTGTTAGATACGCCTCATCAAGGTACTGATAGATTGGGAGATTTTGAAACGGCTACATGGTATTTAGGAGTAGATGATAATGTAGTAGCTCTTGGATATAAAGTTTATGATAAAAAGAATTATGTAATTCTCCAGCAGGTAGGAATTTTTGTCATTTTTATTCATAGACCATTTAATTCGTAGGTCTTCATTTTGATATAAACTAGTAAATGAGAACTAGTATCGGTGGTTCTGAAAAGATTAAAAGGAGCTAAATCGCTAATACCTGGGATCTAGAAATTGACACAAAAGGGTTGCAACGCTTATAATAATGTAAAATGAATGTATATAAACTGATTTAAATTCAATTTTTTTCGTTCTTACTCTAATTTCAAAACAATTATTTTTAGCGAAATACATAAGAAGCCCCAATCGAATGGCAATCTCTGGCGTTTGGTTATTACAGTCTACACCGGTAGTATTTATTGCGCATGCTCTTCAGATAAGAATATGACGTCACTGTTTGACATGACTCTAGCCTGGAGAACGCTAGATCGGTCCTTCACTTTTTCGTTTGTAACATTAATAAATTTTACATTAACCTACTTTGGAATGCGATTTAAAGGGCACCCATATCTAACATATTCACTAATACTGCCACTTTTTTCTCCCGCCGCCCTGGCTTACCGACGACGTTCGTGCTTTGAACGACAGTCTAAAAGAACGCTTTCAGCCACCATAGGCAACACTCACATTTACATTTGGACGTAGCGCATGAAACATCGGTGATCAGTGATTATATTAAGTTCTTATATTTTCAGCATTTCTTGAATAAAACATCCGGGACTTCAACTGGCAACAAAGATCTTCTTATATCCGCATTCCCTGCTGTAATGATTGATGATACTATGGCAGGAGAGTTGGGATACATAGCTTACTCAGGAACTCAGTTTGGCAGTGCTAGAATGGAGTTAAGCACGTAAGTACTATTTATCACGCTAGCAGATGAAGAGCATCATATAATAGTTTAGGCAGTAATGTCTGTTATTAAACTTTAATTCTAGCTGGGCTCCCGGAAAGGTAAATATGAACACCGGTACTGCAGGTGGACCCATCATCTTCTTTGATAAGAAGGACAATGTTGTTATCATAGCTCCGTTTAGTGAATTTATGTCAGCATCAACCTTTCTGGATACCACTCAACAACCTAACAGATTAAGCTGGGGTATTATGGGCGGAGTCATGGAAATTCCAGAAGATTTTATGGCCCAGTTCATGGTATTTTATAGTCCCAATGGAATCAACAAGGTAAAGATGCAATACATATACATCCTTTAACATAAATACTGTAGTCAATTTGCTTTTTCAAGTGACATAAATACTGTCGGCAATCTGTATCTTCAAGTGACAAATACTGTAGGCAATCTGTATCTTCAAGTGACAAACACTATAGCCAATCTGTATCTTCAAGTTAAATAAATACAGTAGTCAGACTGTATCCTCCAGTGACATAAATATCGTAGCCAATCTGTATCTTGCAGTGACATAAATATTTATAGTGACATAAATACTGTAGGCAATCTGTATCTTCAAGTGACAAATACTGTAGCCAATCTGTATCTGCAAGTGACAAACACTATAGCCAATCTGTATCTTCAAGTGAAATAAATACAGTAGTAAGACTGTATCCTCCAGTGACATAAATATCGTAGCCAATCTGTATCTTGCAGTGACATAAATATTTATAGTGTAGGTTTAGTAATTTTGTAAACTTTGAACAACTGTTATAATTCAGGCATTTGAAGAATGGGGAAGTCTATTGAGAGATTTTTATGGTAAAGACCCATCCTACAGAAAAGCTGATATGACGATTAACTATCTGGGATATTATACTGATAATGGTAAATCTACCATCTCAAAGTTATTATTCAGTCATGATATTTAAATGAATTCTTAACAGGGCTGTACAATAGCAGCTAACGGGGTATCTCTACGCTAAATGTCTACGCAAGATGCACATTATATGAAAACCTCATGACTTGGGGATATTGCTTACAGCTAAA